TATTATAAAATTTCTCGAGCGATCCTCATTCGGTTAGAAATTTTCAGATCTTTTATCCGTGACTAAACCTTATAAATTTTCTCTTAACTTTAAAGTTTTTAAAAAATCAATTTTTTAATTTTTAATTTCAGATTGAATTTTTTCCAACTATTTTTAAAATATTTTTAAAAATTAAATATTTCTATTAGATTTCTATTAATTCTAATGGTAAAATTACACTTGCTATACTTTTCGTTTCAAGACTAGTTTTTTTATTTTCTAAAATGTTCTTTCATCGCTTACTTTTTAGCATTTTCAAAAAAAAAAAAAAAAAACAAATTCAAAAAAACAAAATAATTACAAATTTTGACATTTTTTTATAACTATTATGAATTGTATATACCCGTTAAAATTAATGAAAAACATAATAAAAACTCTAATTTTAAATAAAAAATAGTCCGAAGGAGATCTAGTTTGAAATTGAAACTTGAAAAATTGATTCTCAAATAATTTAAAATTTAGAAAAAGTTTATACCGTATAACCATCCTTTATTTATCCAATACTTTGTATGTATAAAGGATCTCATTTTAAATAAAAAATCGTTGGAAGGAGATCCAATTTGAAATTGAAAATTGAAAAATCGATTTTCAAATAATTTAAAAGTTAGAAAAAATTTATACCGTTTAACCACCCTTTATTTATACTTTTTATGAAAAAGAAGTATTTGATATATAAAGATTTAATTTTAAATAAAAAATAATTAAAAAGAGATCCAATTTGAAATTGAAAATTGAAAAACCGATTCTCATATAATTTAAGATTTAGTAAAAATTTATACTGTTTAACCATCCTTTATTTATCCAGTATTTTTTATGTAACTATTGCTACAAACTTCGTTGTCATTGTAATTGTAGCCTCTGATGCCTCTTGCCCTAATGATCATAAAAAGGGGACCTTTACGAATCAAAGAAATGCAAAAATTTCAAGTTAAGATTCTCCCAGGCTTCCAACCTTCAAAAAACACAATGTTACTTGGATTTAATAACAAAAGAGCAGATTCTCCGAGAATAAAAGAAAACGTTTCGAATGCAAGGTAATTCTAGGCTCTAAATAGGGATTCTAGTTGCTACAAGGAAGAAGAAGTTCGATTCGAACGGCTTACAAAAGTAATTGTTCTTCTTATCTCTTTCAATCAAATAACCATGAAGACACAAGAATCTGAGACAGATAATCTTTTATCCCGTCAAAATTGATGCTTTATTTATTTATTTTTGTTTATTTTTACGCAAAAAAGTAAATGTTCCTTTATCCTTGCATGAGAGATTCTATAGCAACATCGGAGACATTGTTGACATTCAAACATAACATTCTCACAAGAAAGTAGCTATCTCGAAAATATTTGATTTATACTTTGCCGATTCAAACATAGAAGATTTTTTGATTGAGACTATTATAAAAGGTTTCGTGAATTTTTTTAGGTTAACATTTTCCTATTTTGTCTTTGTAAAGAATTCAAACGTACTATCTCATTTAGGAAGTTTATTTTCTTATTTGATTTTAACATTGATATTTTTACGTCTTATTTAATAATTTTCCTAATTAGAGCCCGACTCCTAAGTCGGTTATTTTTCTTACTTGTATTACAAATGGATTCTAGGTCTTAGAATAATATAAATAAAGGAGCACTCTCATTGTATATAATTTAAATGCATTTTTTTTTCAAAATTTTAGTATTTTATCTTTCTTTTAGTTTTGTAAATATCTTGCTGGATGTAAAATCCTTATAGTTTGCTTTCATAAATTTTTATGATTTATTACTAACTACAAGCTTAACGACTTATTTAATATAAACATGTAGATTAACTGATTGATTATCGAGTAGACTCATATAGAATAGTATCGTTAATCATTACTTATGTAGACTTGTTGCATGCAGGTTTTTAAAAGAATTTGCAATTCGTTTGATATTAAAAATTATTTCAACTCCTCAGGGAAAAGAGAGAATTTTTTCGAAATTTATATTGTTAACAATTGGATAAAAGAAAATTAGCCACTTGTACATTTATAAATCTAAAAATCTTATCTAGCATTTTGCTGGACCTGTTATTAGGAGGTTCGATTAATTTGACGTTCAGATAGATTCAGAGGGGACAGCACATTAATATATAGCATTTCATGCTGGCAATTGGGATGGTTATGATTTGACTCACTAACAAAGATAAGAACTAATTAATTAATAAGCTATCTTCTTTTTTTTGGTTTTTTAATTAGACAATGAAGGATATTTTTGAATTGGTTTGTGTCTTATTTGAGATTATGTCTGATCCTTGTACAAACTTTTATTGAAAACTAAAATTTGAATATTAACTACTAATTAATAAACATCATCTAGGTTAGGGTTTCTTAATCTCGTTTCTTTTTATGTACATTTTTTCCCCTTTGCGTTTTTATTTTCTTGAAAGTATCTCGTACGTGTTTCTCTAACTATTTTAAATCCAATTAATGACATGAAACTCAATTAATATTATTAGTTTTGTTTTTCTTTTAAAAGATATGAAGTTTGAACGTAACCTCTAATTTGTAACAAAAATAAAAGCTCTGCTTCTATATCATGACTTGGATAATGTACAATTCTCTTTTTGTATGGATTTTGACATTGTATCTAATTGGATATCAACAAGGATAACGCTCATCGATACTTTGATAGAAACATATGCTCACAGAAGCTAATCTCTCTCTCTCTCTCTCTATATATATATATATTCTAGAGACTGAAACTATATATTTTCTTGGACACATAATATCAATCTAACCATTTATACATTGAATACTAGATGCAGTATCCAACCATTTGAGGATTTTTTTATTTTCTATTTTTCTGTATTTGGGAGCTTCGATTCTAACCTCACTTTTTTCATTCCATATTACGTTTATTATTTGTACATCACCAATTTAGACTTAGATGCTCGCACACAATTATCATCACACCCTTCACCAACCCTACAAAGAAATCTATTGATTGGTCTCATTTATTCTTTGAATTATTTCATTTTTCAAAGCCCACAACCATCAAAAATAATAATGTAAATCATAATTTGAAATCTCACTTATTAATTTAAATTTTAAAGATAAAATAATTTTTTAATATGATATGAAAAGTTTTACTAACTTAAAAGCCAAGAATTTAAATCTTATCGCTCCGTTTTCTCTTCAAATCAAACAGAAGGGTTGGCACTCAAAGTGAAATAGAGGATTCGATATAACTAGAAATTCAAAATAGAAGGATTGGAGGTGATTTTTTGCCAACTTTTATAGCTTCACAATTCGATAACGTTAAGAGAAGCCAAAACTTGAATGGCTAAAACGTACATAGAAATCCTGAAAGTGCCCAAAGGATCGAGAAAAAGATATATTCAACATCCGGTATGGTGTCAACATCGGCCAGGTCTGCTCTGAGTAGTGCTAAATGCATGGATGTAGACGTACACGGTTGAAGAAATTGTATTCGCTATGGTTCACTAGAATTTTAGTTTGGTTTTCCTCCCTTTTCATGTCTGTGTACCAAACTAAAAAATGAAATAATTGAAGTGGGGTCTTCAATGAGGAGCTTATCTACACTACAGTGACAGATTTGGGGGACCATTTTGCAATTTACGTAGCTTAATTTAAACCTATTTTTCATGGCTAATAAAGCATGCACCTTGTTTAATCTTCATCTAGAGAGACATAATTAAGCATAGGCACCCCTACATGTTCATAACCTCATGGATAAGTAAGATGATCAATCACTTGTTAATAATGACTAATCCCCCACTTGGCTACTTAATTACTTTTGTGTACATGATAACCCAAGAAACCCTTTTTTCTTTTCTTTTTTTGAATGATAAGAGTATTTTTAGATTAATTTTCATGCATCTAAAACTTTTTTTTGTGATTCAAACCTTAAATAATAATATTGTGGAAAGAAAACCCACTTACTAACCCTTCAAGACTAAATATTATGTCACCATAAAAATCATACTATTTAGCAACCCAAAAATCTCTCCGTGTCTAGGTTTTTCCAATAGTTTACTGAAGATTCCATTACTATTTTTAGAAAAAAATTATTAAAAAAAAATTGTTATTCTATCAGTAAAAGGATTTAAATCATTTAATGGTAAATTCTTTTATGACATGCATGTTAATATGATCATTTGAGATCTCGTGTAGGTTTAACTTTTATAGGCTCATGTTGGTTTGTTTTGGTTTTAGAACTCAAAAAGCTCATTTCTGCATTTGCATTGAACTTTGTGTTTCGACAAATCAAGAAAGGGGTTCGATCCCATAATTTGCCTATCCTCATAGTTTCCAAACAGATTAAAATGTAAGGAATCTGAGTGTTATCACTCGATTTCCAAATTGCATGGTTGGAAGATTAGTATGCCCTAACTCAACATAAAATGACTTAATAAATAAGACCTCCTACTTTAGAATCTATAAACAAATCTGACTTGTTCTACTCCATCATACAACCAATCCCCTTATCCAAATCTTTAAGATATTTTTTCTCAATTTATATTTATGATGATAAATAAATTAATTTATTCTTATATAATACCTAAAGTCTTTCATCTGTTTCTAAATTTAATTGCATCTCATTTGTTCTTAAATTTTTTTAAAACATTTAATCTATCATTCCAATCAATTTTTCAAACCATGTAAAAAAAATTTGACTAAAATGTCTCCGATTGAAATGCCAAAAAAAAAATTTTCAAAAATAAGACACGAATTCATGTGATTTTAAGTGTTTTTTCTTTTGCATTTTAGTAAAAAATAATAATAATAATAATAAAATTTGTCAAAGAATTTGTATGTTGTCGCACGAAAAATTTAATCGTAAAAATAGATTGAATATTTCAAAAAAATTAGAGACATAAAATATAATTGAAAATCTAAAAATAGATAGAAGACTTTATATATTGTATAAGGATAAATTGATCTATTTATTCCATTGATAAATAAAAACTTCGTGGTGACTTTGTTATTCATGAACCCAGCTTTTCTTACCAATTGCCTTAACGTCCACCTACAACTTGCAGCACAAGTGTTTTAGCCCGATCAAAGTAATTAAATCTTCCTCATGGATAAGTAACTCGTTCCCCATCTAATTAATTCGTTAAAACTAGTCGTCTAATTCAATTTTGATTGCTTAATTTGTACATCTTTCCATAGAAATTCATCCGCAACTTTCAACAATCAGTAAAAACCTATAAAGATTAGCAATTCCTTCATTAAGACATGCATAATCGGCATCCATTGCATCTATATATAATCATATTTCTATTCCGATTTCTATGTAAAAATCTCATTACAGTCATAACAATTCCACCCTTTGAACATCCAAACATCATTGCTTCCTCGATTTACGACTTCCATGGGCAGTCTAATTTTGAGAATTTGGAGTTAACTCTCTTTATTAGGTGCCTATAAATATTATCATCACTAAAGAGTTTTTGGTTTTTGCATTTAGCACAGAGATCTAATTTTTTCCTTCAGATACCTTTTTGCATCATCAAGAGGATTACAACGAGCAAGAAAAGATACAAAACTATGAAAGAAAAATGATAAATTTAAGCTTAAAAAAACTATAAATAAAGCTGTAAGGTAAAAAAATTAAATTGCATAAAGATAAATCTAAAAAGAAACGATAATTTGCAAAGAGTGGAGAATGAGAAAAAAAATTGTATTGAAATTTATATGATATAGGAGCATCTCTCTCCGTAAATACTAATTTATGGCCCAAAAAATATTTTTCCATTAAGAAAACAAAATATATCGACCTTAGAAGTCATTGAGAATTAGCTTTTTTATAACTATAAAATAGATAAAAGCAAATTATTTGATATGCCGAGAGGTATCAACTCAATAAGCATCTAGCAAAATATGATATTATCGATACCAAAAAAAAAAAAACCTGCATAGAAAATATTTAGATGGAAGAATCCCTATTTGTCTTAGAAAGAAAGTCGATAGAAAGAGCAGTGTCAAAGGTGACCTTCAAAATAACTAACTCTAAGCATTCCCTCATTTAAGTGCAGTGTTGTAGATGAAAAAAGTTCATATATACTAGTCCGATATTTTGAGAAAAATGAGAATATGAAATGAAATGGTCTAAGCATCTGCTTAAGTAGCAGATGTAAGTAAAACATCAGCAGGTATTTTACAAAAAAATCTGAGTTTTAATTGCCTAAGTAATAAGAAACTGATAATTTCATTTAACTGTCTCAGAAATGAACTCTCTAAGAATACCTACTCGCAGGTGTCGGCCAGTAATTTCTCTCCAGCTTCTGGCTGCAAATCACCATCTCAGGCAAAAAAATAATTTAAGCCACTGCATCAAATTACCAACGTACCTGCTCGCTCAAAAAGCAAAATAATGGATCACTTACAAATGACAAAAATAAGGGGGCCAGCAAGCTAATGGTGTGCATGCATATGCAGATCCTGGTGGGCACATGCGAAGCCCAGCTCATGGATGTCAGGCACCCTCAAAAGTGTGGATAACATTGCTCAAAATAATTTTAAGCACTCAAAAGAAATGAATGCATGAAACGAGGACCGTTACTTACATTTGGTGTCATTGTAGACCTTGCAAGAAATGCTCAATGTCAATTTCCAAGAAGGAACATGGATCCATAATGTCAAAGTTGTTCAAGACCTGAGTAATTTATCGTTAATCAGAAGGATGTTTAAACCATACAAAAGGAGTTACGGATAAAAAAAAACTTGCAGAAAATTGAATTATGTAACTTGCGAAAGGAACACATTTCTATGCTGAATCTATTCCACAGACACTGGCCCATCTGTTTTCTGTAAAACAACTTGTGAAATTCATTTTTCATTTATTGTGTTGATCGAAATAAAATAAAGCTTAAATTCCAAAAAAGATTACTGCGTTAAAACAAATTCCTTTAACCACCACCCAACCCTAATAAACAGCTGCTGCCAGCCACCCAAAAGACTACCAATTTGTATAAAATATTCTCACAAATATATAAAAAACAAAAAATTACAGGTCTCTGTTTTCACTAAAAATCACTTCTAGAGCAGTGTGCAACTGTATATAACAAATTTGTTACAGTCCAACAAAGTAATCAATCAAAAATTCAAGCTATAATAATCAATTTCATGGATAAAGAAAGGCATAATCAATAAAGTTCACTAGGAATTCCAGATTTTAACACATCACGGACAAGGACACAACACTATTTTGTTACTGAATATTGTTATGAAATATCACAGTGCAAATAAAAAAAATTCTAAGCACGAGATCACTAGATACCTGGGGATGCACGATACCAAAATTGCCAATATGCTTCCCTTTGTAAATGATGCTAGCTTGTCTACCGGGAAGGAATTCAGTTGCCTTCAGTAAATACCAAAAAAAGGTAGGTATCATAACCAATAATGCCAGAATGACCTGAAAGAAAAAGAAAAAAAAAATTCAAAGCAACACAAATACTTACATCTGACCGCTGTATGTAGTACCCCGTATTGTCACCAATTGGTACAAAAGGGGTTCCCATCACTTCTAGAATTCTGTCCACCAAGGAATGGATAAGCTGCAAACATGGTTTAAATGCCATCCATTAACTTTATTAGTCTCTATAAATTCTATGTGTGACTAATAAAATTTAGAGACAAAATTGCTAGATGCGGAACAGTAGAGGGAAAGTCCTCAGATGATTTTCATGGAGTTTGGGGTTGTAGGGTTTTAGATACATGAATTTAGACATTGACATCAGATTTGATGTATAGAGGGAAAGGGACTACTAGCTGCATGCTTGTAGTGTTATTGAAGAGCTCCATTTATTAATACCTCACACTGTCCAAAAAATTAGAGATGTAGGATGCAACTTTATTCAAAAAATTATGTCTGCTGGAATTAGAATAATATAAGGATATTTATGGGTTTGAAATATTCCTGATGCCACAAATAGAGTTTGACTCGTAAAAAAGAAAACACAACTTCCTTTTAGAAAAAAATAAAAAATAAATAAAAACAAGAAATTTGAAATTTGCTAAGCAGAAGATACTTCATGCTTCCTAATTCTGGCTAGAAAAATACTTGTCTCTCAGCCATTATTAATTTTGGCCCCTTTTACATATACACTGAAGTCCCACTTAAATCCTTAGGCCAGATAATTGATCCACAAAAGCACAGAAATTTGAATATGGTTTGATAAAAGACATGCCTTCAAACAAGAAAATCAACTTGAGAGATCTTTACAAAATAAAAATACAAAAGAAATGTAATCAATGAATTGATAGAGTATCAAAAAATAATCGTTCAAAAACTGCTAAGGAGATATTCCATACAATATTGGAAACGAAGCTCAACAACATAACAAACTATACCTCAAACCCTGAGTTAGTGCCACAATACAGAGCTGCAAGATGGCGACGGTTTGTTGCACCAACATCTTTACTCTCATCCAAAAGTGCTACATCACCCACTTCAAAAATCTATTGGCCAATTTTAAACATGAGAAGTTATCCACAAACACGCACTCACATATCCTGCTTTTGGCAGGAACAAATTATCAAACCTAAAAATAGATTATTGATTCTCACTGACATAATAGCTAACAACAGCATAATGGGAAGATGTGCACATGTGCACATTAAAAAAAGCAGTATAAACTTCCTCCTATCAATGAGGCGGGCTAAGAATATTGCCACTGAGCATCAGGAACATTATCATACTTGATAGATATTTGAGCATACTCCAGAGATTAATACAATTATCCATGCATTTGAGTCGTCAAACTAGTATAAGAAATATACAATTCTCTAATAACAAGGACTATCAAGAACCAGAAATAAGTACCTTGATTGGCTTAGGGTGGTCTTTGTTATGTCCAATAATTTTCAAAGCACCAGGCATGAGGCTTGTTCGGACAGCCTACAGAAATGTACAGGAAATGAAATTTGAACAAGAGGTGAAAATATTATGTATAGATATGCCAAAAGAGGTAGTATGCAAAAGCTGCAAATATTATTTAGACCACAAAATGTCATAGGAACCAAAATGGCAATTCAGACAATTACTTTCTGCCCATTTAGGCAAGCTTGTTTGGAACTCTCTCCAACCCAATCCCAGAACCCTTTCTGATTCACAATGCATTATCACCTACCCACAAATACTGCAAAAGCTGCTGGTTAGAATTCACAATGCATGTGAAGTACCAGTAATGTCTAACATCTTCATAAGAACATATCCTTAAAGGATATCCAAGACTTCCCATATTTGAAACAAACAAGTAAGCACATTTTAGAGTTATAAATTATGCCAATTGAAAGGGTGATATTTCCAGAGGATATCAACCACACTCCACAATCATATGAGAATACAAAAATACAGAGGTTTTGCTATGCAGACCCTAGTCCACATTCCAATACACAATTTATCTTCATAATAATTTGATTGTTGGTTCAAAACTCTTAGCAATAAAAGAGTAGAGGTGCATCTCATGTAAAAAAGTTAAACAAAGATGAAGGAAAGTCAGTTCAAAGAGATTGAACGACCAAATACAAACTAGACCATGAAAATATAATAGGCTTGGAACACCACCAAAGAAGATTTAACACAAACCTCAAAATCCGAGGAACGGGGATTTCCAACAATCACTGCACTTGATTGATCATCTTTCCGATTTAACAAGGCAAAATTGTCTCGATTAGAGCATAAAATCCATGTTAAGACCTCTGTAAACCCATTCATTGCAATCTAGAAATTACAGACAAAATAAATAAATAAAAAATAATAAAATAGCCCACAAAAATCAAAGTAGGATAATAAAAACCACAATGAGAAAATGCTAGTAAAGCAAGAACATGCAGATAGAGTGAGAGAGAGGAGACCCCCTTTTAGTACCTCCGCTCTGATAAGATCCTCAAGCTGATTCAAGGGCAGTGGCTTCATCGATGGGAGCCTTCTCTTTGGAATGTCATTGTACCCATAAGCAATTGCAACATCCTTGAAAAGACAATGGATGCCTTGTCATTCGCAAAAAGAAAGAAAGCATGCTGGCTATGTGATAACAGAGTAAATAATAGTAACCATTGCTGTATACCTCCATAACATCACAAGGGTGAAGAACGTCACTTCTTGTTGGAGGTATCGATACATTGATATTGCATTTGTTGTCATCAGCTACGGAATGCTCAGCACGCAATTGCATCCGATTTAATAAACTAGTAACCTAAATGATAATGAAAAAAATATAAAACACGCTATTACTATCTCAGATTTTCTTGTATGGGAATATTATCAGCAATAAAATGTCATGATTGATAAACAAATAGCTAACAGAAAATCTAGAAGAAAGCATGCCAGAGGGTTAATCAGGTGCAGAACTTCCAGTGACAGAAACCATTTACTGTAAAATATCCCCTGATGAGAGATGGTTTCTTTAAGACAAGTACTTTTGATATGGACATCAGAAAATAAAAATGTTCCTTAATATTCTTACCAAAATTACCAGGTTTCTTTAAGACAAGTACTTTTGATATGGACATCAAAACCCATTTACTCTCAAACAAACTAGACAAAACCCAAGACTGATTGTGCTGCCCCAACTACACTCTCCTCCTAATATAACTTGTAAATAAAGTTATGGAGAAATCAGTGAAGGACAAATTAACACAACCCAAGAAAACTAATTCTCAGAAAACTAAATTTATTTGACCAATCGATCTTTGTCCCCCCAACTTGAATGTCTAACCAGAGTGCTATTTATTGGCATCAAAGCAACTAGAAAATAGGAAAACCAAATCCTAATAGAGAATAGGACAACTAAACCCGATAGAAATTCAATTCCAAAAAAAAAAAAAAAAAAGAATAGGAAGGACTAATCAACAGTCCCAAAAAAAAACATTCCTAAATTTCTTCCTAAAAAAAGTAGTCTAAAATTCAGTGGCTGGGGGTTCTGCACCATAAAGATAGTTTCAAAATCAAGATTTGCTTGAAACAAGCCTTCCATCTATCAATCCTCAGTTAATAAAAATATCACCTGAAGTTAAAAAATGCTACCATCAGTTATAAACTTACATGCAAGGAACCAACCTACATTTCCTTGAAAGCTATCCAAAGTTAAATTATAATATTGCTCATTGAAATCAAACACACTGTAAATACAGCACACTAAATCATGTTTCAGATCAGTAAATCTATTTTTCCAGTAAAGCTAAGTGCAAGTATACTTCAAGATATCATTGACCAAATTTGCAAAATTGAAGGAAAATCAAAGTTCCTAATCTTTCTTAATGTGTTGTCCAATTCAAAGCTTTGTATATTTGAACAATCCACGCTGGTCCTTTGCTTCAGGAAATTGAGTAAACTTGACACCATCGATTATCTTTTCAAATTAAAGCCTAATATGATCAGAAGCAGAATTTGTTTACTTCCCATACATCATTTAATCAATGAAAATGCCAACATAAAATGGACCAGCACATCATTTAAATTTAAATGAAAGCACATGTGTGCACACATGCATATGTGAACACAAAATTAGTAACAGATGTAAGAACAACAAGAATTAGAATACCTTTTCTGCCTCCAAAGAGACTCCAATTGAGCCAGTAATATATGAAAGAGGAACCTCCATGTTATAGAAAGATAAATCAGGGTAAATGTATGACCTCCCATCAGAATATATCACTTCAACTGGCTCCACCTCAAATTTTCTTTGACAATATGCTGAAAAGGTTGTTACCTAAGAAAACAAGAAAAAATGTGTGCATAAATCTAATAAGTAACAACCTCAAATTACCATTAAAAAGAAACCTCAACTTCACAGTTCCTTACCATTGTGTTCAAAACAATACTGGCCTTTGTCAAATCAGTGGCTGTGCATTCAATGAAAACATTCTTAGTCTTCAGAGTGATAGCCGAATGTGCACCATTAATAATTGGCGGTAGAGATAAAACAGTTCTGCAGAAAGAAACATGAGATACATACATATACAAGCATTAACTGGAAATTCTTAAAGCACAAAAGAGAGATGTCATAAGCTATAAAAGAGCATGGCATTCATACTTAATGATCAAATGAAATGTGTCAATAAGAAACCTTAAATATCTCACAGAAACTACCACATGAATAAAAGAGGACTATTGTCACTGTAATTGCTGATATCTGCCTTGCCCAGCCCCCCTAAGAAAATTGGACCAGGCTGGGCTGCTCATTTTCCAAAACAAGATGCATCATGATTTACTTAATTCCATTGATCCCCGGGCATGTACAAATAAAACACAAGGCTTCTGCCTCATCTGTATCTGACTCAAATCTATGCCCTCTCGTGACAAGATATCGTTCCCTAAAAATGAGGCACAAACTAAAACAGAGAGGCAAATAATGCACAAGGATGAACCCAAAGCAAGTATAGCAAAAGGAAAACTATAGATGCACCCTAATTCCAGAATTGGGTGATGCACAAGAGAAATCTAACTCTTCTGCATTCACACCCTCCATAGGGTGAGGGAATCTCTCTTCCTAAGGGTCTATGAAGCAAACTAAAAACCAAATCGAATTATAGAAAAGAAGTCATTCGATAAAAGAATTAGAACTGAATAATAAATCAATACGTAGACAGGCAAGAAACTTCAAAATCATAACGATTACAAGATTTCATTGAGAAACCTACTCATACCTTTTAGAATCATATATGACCGGAAACACTGGCGAATTCTCAATTATGTGTAGGAACTTCTTCAGCTTCATATCAGACTGCCAAGTAATCAGTGTTAGAACCAATAGCAAGACAAAAGGCATAATTGCAGTTTTTGTACCTAGAATTCAATTAATGTGCAAACTCCTACATAAAAACCATTCTCAAAGGATAGACTCAGAACTATCAACACCAGAGTTGTTCAAAGATTTTAAGGGAAAATATGCATATATACATATCAAGTCATTATCAAAACTTCACAGAACCACTGATGGACAACAAAATGAAGACACCATAATTTCAAAATCACCTTGTAAAACTCCATCAGTTCATCAGCTCTGAAGTTTTTCTCCTAAATTACAAGAATCAAAGACAACGAAATCACCATTAGTTAGTCATAAACATTCATAGCATTGAAAATGTAAAGCACAAAGTAGTTGATAATAAGCACAAGTAAGACAGCAATAAAATTAGCCACAAAAAGAAAGACAAGAGAGCTCGTATGAAATGGGAAATAGAGTGCAAAGGGGCTGTCTAGATAGATTTCTAACTCCAAAAGTATGCACTTTCACTCCAGGTATTTGCTGTGTGTGAAAGCACACTTAGATGTTTAACAAAAGTATATCAGAAATAAGACATAACCAACACAATCCTACTAAATGGTGCCAAGTATATGCAGAAAATGACCTATAAAACTAAGCAAAGGGGGAGAAAAAGAGAGGCTTATAGTTCCAATTACCCCTAGTATAAACTGATTTTCTCGTGCCATGGCCAAAACTCACCATTGCAGAGCAGATGGGAATATATTCAAACATAAGAATCACGAAATAAATATTATAGCACAAGTTACCTGTTTCAATGGCACAAAATTTATGTTTTCAGGACGCAAAGCCTGGAAAATGAACAAATAAAACATGTTACAATTTAGTACATATTCCTTCAATTCTTATAAGAGAAGCTTGATTCTCGTGAAGCAAATAAAAGTCAGAAAACCTATCAAAGAGACTCATGCAAAAAACCTACATGAATGTGCTTTGCAACAAACAATTGTATCCATAAAGAAAAAGATACTACAAGACCAATATTTAGTCTGAGGGAAAAAGGAAAATACACAAGAATTTGCATTAGACAATATCCACCAAAGGCCACTTATCCACATATAATTGGACACATTAAAAACATCATCGCAAAAGTATTGAAGCAATCACAACTAACAAGAACCATCTACTGCACATACTATGATTATAGCACAGACCGAATGAGTTGCATGGTCCTCTTCTTACAGACTTGCAGTACTACATCACATTATTGACAGTACAAGATGTATATGAAAAGAGATGGTTTCATATTGAGCCTACCTCATAAGTGAAAGGGCCTTGTAATGTATCCAAGTCATGAGTCCCGATTGCAACTAGGGTTCTTCGCCTAAAACACATGAAAATAATGGACACAAGTATGATAACAGGGAAAGAAATAGAAACAACAAAAGAGCATTCAGATAAGAATATCAATATTACCTACAAATGTTTTGATGAAGCTTATCTTGAAGATCAATGAAGCTGTTGTAACTAGCTTCATCAAAAGTAATATCTCTCAGAACAGCACACACAACAAAGGGACGAATCGAGGATGTCTGCAGCAGCAGGGACAGGCCGTGAAACAGATTGAAATGTGAAATTACTCCTACCATGTTTGTACTTATTAGGGAAAAAAAGACATACTTCTGTTTTGACATGCATCTTAAGCATTGAGTCCTTGGTAATGCTGGCAACTGTATATTTTGGTGTCTGCTCCTCTTCATTAAAAATGCGGAGGGATTGAGCAATCCCCTCAAGGCAAAGCAAATCATATCTGCGCATAAATAAATCAAACAGAAGATATCATCACAATCTTTTCCTTTCTTATTTATTATTATTATTATTTCTACTTATTTGTTTATATATATATATATATATATATAGCAAACCTAACCTACCTATTAGCAGGAACTTCAATTTTGTAGATAATTTCTTCATCGTCACCTACTCCTTCATCTTCTTCCTCCAAGTGCTTCTCTTTTCTAATAATTGCTTTCTCAGTTGTCTAATATCATCATCATCATCGTAGAGTAAAAGGAATCAAAATATTGAATATGGAGTGGAAGTATCATAAATCAAAACAAAAGGAGGGAGGAAGGGCTCACCACATCGTCGAGCTCGATGCCGAACTTGAAGCACAGATCCTCAAACTCTTCTTGAGCTGCAATACAATCAACGAACAAATTAAACTATTTTTCAAAAATAAAAGAGTGGAAAATGACGGAAATCAAGCCATTTCTTACTGTAAGATTTTCCTAGGGCTAAGAACAAACGATCTCTTCCCACGCTAACTGTTGGCATGGTGCTGCTGCCAATTCCTTTCCTTTCCCCAACCTATCGTATTAGGGATGAGCAAATGGCTGAAGAAGAAGAGTATTTCGGATGGGTAACTGTTCACTAAAAAAAAATTATGTCTCTACCCGAACTACTTTCGACCCGAAGGGTAGGTAATTCGGGTACCCGAACCTAATTCCGTGGGGGTCTTCACCTTCGAAACTTCCAAAACTTTAAATTCGTAAACTGAAAAGTCCTTCTATTGTTGTAATTTTCTTAATATGATCTTTTATCAATTAATATTTTTAATGTGGCCCTCCTATTTGATCTTTGTAACTTAAATAAATCCTTATGTCCAAGTCTAGATGTTAATTGTTAAGTTGGCCTGCCAAATGAGATCCATTACTTATTTTTTATTTTCTAATTCACAATTAAATTGACTAGAATTGTATATCTATGCTACAATTAAGTTACTAAACCGTGATTTATAATCAAAACTAAAATATCAATGTTTATTGTAATTTTAAAAATGAGTTATAACGTGGATAGACAACTCTAATGAGATTAATGAGATTAATCCTTATTATAAAAGAAAAGATATGTATTAGGTCTCATTCGCCATGCTAACTCAGCATTTAAACTTTGGATTTGGGCAACGGTAAGAATATTAATTGATAAGGGATCAAATTAAAAATTAATTATAAAAATAGAGGAACTTTTGAGTTTAGAAGCTCTTGAACTATTAGGGTTTTCTCAATCCCACTTTTTCTTCATCCTTTTTGTTTATGTTTTGCAACTTTGCCATCCTCTTTCTTTTTTCTCTAACTAGTATCTTTGTCTTCCATTTGTATCAATAAAAATTTTATAAAAATACTAAACTCGATTATAATTTAAAATAAAAAAATAAATATTTTGGAGTAGTAAAATTTGAATAAAATCATTTATGTATAACACAAATATATAAAGCATAGATTGAATAAAAAAATTAATTCAAGACTACAGTAAATTTTAACATGATTACGTTAACTATCATTATAGTTTTTACAAATTATTTTATTTTAAAGACTTCCTTTTAATATATGTGAGGCAATATTAAAGATACCAACATAAATATTTTTACTAAAGAGTCCTTTTAAGAACCAATAGAGTTTGTCAAAATGTATAAATCCTTCCCTCTAAAGAAGTAAAAAGATAACATAAGACAACAAACAAGGCTCCCTTATCAAAAAAATAAAAAAAGGTTCAATTACACAATTTATACAATTTTAATATAATCTTATTATTTTTATATTTTGATTATATATGGTATGTATAAAAATTTTAAAAAATAGGTATGAATATAAATTTTATAAATTGTTTTGTTTAAAAACACGGATGAAAATGATTAAGTTATAAATTGATTTAAAAGCATAGGGATTAAATATATAGTTTAATCATAAGGACTGATTAATTAATTTTGATAAACTAAACAAACTCTCAATATGCAATGCTTATTATCTCCTTTTGCTATCTGCTGTGGACAAGGATACGAGCAATGATGCTTAATCCAAAATCCTGAATTTTTTTTGCCCATTGGAACTTTTTGGTCATGTTTACTAAGAAAAATCAAGGAAACATATTACTAAAAATAAAAAACTGAATACAAAGCGATACCAAACGACTTCTTAGGGTTTTTTTTTTTTATGAAGGAAAAAAATATTAATTTTCTTTGTTAATTATTAGGAAATATTTAGTAGTTTTCTTTCAAAGATAAAATATTTAATAAACAAAATTCTAAACATTAAGAAAAATATTTTATTAGAAAAGCAAAACACAATATAGGAAAGATAAATATTGTAGCATCTTTTAAAGCAAAAGTACTCAAATGACCATTTTCATTTAAGTCTCTTATTATTTTCAGCATGGTCAAATTAGTGAAACGATAAAAAAAATTAAGCCATTATCATCGTATCATTACCAAAAAAATAAAAATAAAGTAAAACGTAATATTACTATGCTGCTGCCGTGTTGGTAGTGTGGATAGAGACTCGTGTTTCCTACTCCTTCTATTGTTTGCGTTTTGAGGCTTTAATGGGGTTTGATTTTTCTTCCTCGTATTATCGTTGTCTTGAGTCGCTTGATTGTTCAGTCCCTTCTAATTTATCTTCACGCTCATGTTTCTATTTCTTTATTCCGTTTATGCAGTTGTCTTTTATTGTGTTATTATTGTCCTTCCATTCTCTTTTTTATTTGTTTTTTTTTTTTTTTTGGTCATTTCCTTGCTTCTTCCGACAAGTCGTTTAATGCACTTGTGTTGGGTTGATTTTTCAGTCTTTTTTTTTTTTTTTTTTTTTTTTGAGATTATGGTTTCCAATTAGGAAGTGGCTCTTGGGGAGCTGTGTGTGGTTAGTTGGTGTGTAATTTATTTTCTAATTGTGGCATTGTTGGGAGCTGCTCTACTATCTCCTCTTCCATGTTTCCACCCTTCTCGAGCTTGGTTTGGTTGCAAGGGAACCAAATAGGTTTCTTCTATTGCCTTTTTTTTTTCTTCTTTATGCCTCTTTTTGGTGGTCATGTGTCCTTTGTTTTGGGCCCTTTTTTATTTTTGACTTATTATTATTCAACCATCACTCTTCCTTAACAACTACTCTCGCTTTTATTATATCATCATGAGTCAATTATAAATTACTCCCTTTCATTTCAAAAAAATGAATTAATTAATTCCTCTTATTTCAAAAAATAATTATTTATTCTCTATGTTTTTAAATTTACTTTTTTCAAGAAAGAGAAAAAGGAAAAATATAGAAAAATATAAAAAGATTGATAAGAAAATAAGATATTTTATGAAATAAAAATAATATTAAATTAAACATAGTCAACATTGATTAAAAGATTAAATAATAGTTTTTGACACGAGGAGGACTAATTAATTCATTTTTTAAAACTAGAGAGACTAGTTTATAATTTACTCTCACCACTATTTATGATGGTAAAAAAAAATATTATTATTTTAATTATGTCATTACTCTTCCTCCACCATCATCGTCATTTTTATTATACCAGCACTACCTCTTTCCTTTCACTACCAACTCTTACGGTGATGGTATCAATTTTTCAAAATATATTATTGTTATATTATAATATTATTTCCATCACCTCCTCCCGAGTCCCTCTTCTATTCCATCACCATTACCACCACCATCGCCACAATTATTTTTATCTTTTATGCTACAATCATAGTTGGTACAATTATATTTTTTAATCATTTTTTTATTTATATTAAAAAATTAAAATTTTATTCCATTTTTTATTACTATTACAAACACAATATAAAAATATAAATATCATTTTAATTTTTTAATTTTTATTTGATTATTATATTCTTATTTTGGATCTTTCACTCGTAACCAAACGACATCATAAAGAATGCGGAGCGAGGTTGAATTGAATATGTTTAAAGGTTTAGGATGTCCTTTTATTGTTTTATCTATCTTAATCGTGTTATTTTACTAATTTTTCAATAATTGTGTCCCTCTACTCTTAATTTCGTTCATTTGGCCAACTTTTTCGATAATTGTATCAATTTTTTATGACAAACTCATAAGATATCGACATATGGTTTTTTTTTTCAAAACAAAAATCCTGAAAAAATATATAAAAATATGAAAAAAATATAAAAAAAATCAATAAAAAATCCAAAATACTCTTCTTTTTCTTTACCTTTAGGTACATAAATAAATAATTAATTTCATCTGTCAATTTTTTTTATTTTCTCTCAAATTCTAAAAAAATAAAAAATCCTAAAATGTCCTTTTTATCTGCCTTTTGCTTTTATTCTTATGCTATGAAAATAATTTCATAATTTTTTTTTGTTTGGATTTGAAATAAATGTTCATAATAAATTTGTTGAAACAAATAAAAAAAAATTGATTATGTTCTTTCTTATACATAAAAATAATTACAAAATCCTAAAATGTTCTTTTTATCTACATTTTGCTTTTATTCTTATGTTATGATTTTTTTTGGATTTGGATTTGAAATAAAATCACAATAAATTTTTGAAATAAATAAAAAAATTGCTTATGTTCTTTTATATACATAAAAAATTTTCTTTTTTGGTTTAATTTGAGAGAAAGCAAAAAAAAAAAAATTGAGGGATTAAATTAATTAATTATTTTTATATATAAAGGTAGAGAAAAATAGGGGTATTTTGAAATTTTTTATTTTTTTAGTTGTTTTGGATTTTTTTATTTTTAGGATTTTTTTTTTAAATGTCACGTATTAACATCTTGTGAATGCTGTCGCTAAAAATTGATACAATTATCGAAAATATTGGTCGGAGGGCCAAAATTGAAATGTAAATTATTAATAGAGGGACACGATTATTGAAAAAATTAACAAAAAAAAAAACCCAATTAAAATAAATAAAATAATAAAAAAAGTCATCTTGGATCTTTAACCCTAATTGAAAATGGAATGAATTATTGATTGTATCGTAAAAAACCCCTATGTCCACGCCAGTTGCCCCCTGGGGGAATATATACTTCTAAAAAATCTATTATACTGTACTAAATCTCGAAGTTAGTTATATACGTATGAATGGCAACGAGAGAAAAAAAAAAAAATGCAATAGCTACATGAAGGCGAGCTCGATGGGTAAGCCATAAATTTTGTTTTTGTGTACGGAACTCCCGAGAAGTGTTAGAAGGCAGTTCCTGCTTCTTGAATGGTACCAAATAAATGGTTATTTGAATGGAGATTTCGAGCATAAAAATTCCACTAACCTATGAAAAGCGGGCCTAAGGATGGAATAATACATTTAAAAAATTATTTTATTTTATTTGAACATATTCCCTCCTGGAGCCAGTAATAGCGACATGGACTCAATTGCTTCGGATTATTCACTACCGACATCCATTTCTCTATCATTGAGTGGAGCACAAGCATGTATCTCTTCAAGTTCTGATTGCTTTTCGCAAAACTAGAGGAATTAAATGGTCCCTCTAGTTTTGCAAAACGAATTAAATGGTCTTTCTTGTTTTAATTACTATATAATTAATCTCATTTGTCCATTTCATGTGCCTTTTCAATTTGTTATTGTTTTTTTTTTAAGAAATAGAAAAGGTAAAAAATAAATAGATATTGTGAAAGATTGATGAAAAATAGATTTTTTAAAAACAAATTTATAATAAATTAAGTATAGTCAACACTTGGTCAAAGGATTAATTAATTAGTTTTTAAAATTAGATAGACTATTTAATTTATTTTGGAAAACTAGAGGAATTAATTTATAATTTACTCATCAACAAATCAACAACAATACACTGACATGCTCAAAGAAAATCCTAATTTATCTTAAAAAGATGGATTTTTTCCCCCTTGTTATTAGATGTAGAGAAGAAGAAGAGATATTATCTTTTTTTTTTTTTTTTTGCTAGTAAAAGTCAAAAAGACACCATATTAGGATTTATTTCCTTATAAAGAATATAAACTAAATACATGTTATACAATTTCTTAATCCACAACATTTAACCAATGCCATGTCATCATTTCATACCCTATTTAGTAGAAATTTAGAGAAAAAGAAGGATGCACATGTGGTAGTAAGAAAATGATAATAAAATGATCCCCTTGTAACCATTAATAGAGATTACCACTGCTTTATAACATAAAATCGATAGATAATAGATTGATCGATTTACAAACAGTTCATAAAGAAGATAATAAAATCACTAAAAATATATATATTTTTTACATTTATTAATGCATAATGAAAAAATATTTTTTAATTAATTATTCCTTTTTTGTTTAGTTTCTTGCTCATTGTCAATTATGTTTAGTTTAATATTATTTTATTTCATAAAATATCATTTTTTATTATCAATGCTTTATTTTTAAAAAAAAAATCAAAATAAATTGAAAAAAGATTAAATTATAAGAAAAATTAGAAATATAAGAACAAAATAATCAATATTTAAAACAAACAGGATTGATTAATTCATTTTTCAAACCTAGAAGGACTAATTTATAATTTAGTCATATAATACATTTACTCACAACTAATATCTGAGGCTAAATATGGTTTTTTCCTTTTTGTTTTTTTGTTTTTTTCTTAACACGTGAACCAACCAGCCACCAAGATCAAGTAGAAACTAAAGTAGTGGTTATTAAGGAAGTCTTGTATGTGGTTTTTTAAGGAACTCTATCAGGTGTCACCTGTCCTTCCCAGATCCAATCTCACTTCTTCTGTTTCTAAGAATTCAAACCCAACAAAGAATAAAAAATATTCCAAATCCTGTATATACACAACTCATCTCATTTCTCCAGTCTCCAAATTTTGGTTTATTTTTAGTCACAAAAAAGGCTACTTTTTTTATCGTCATTGCAGAATCTAAGGGCTTTGTTTTTGTGGGTAAGTTTCCTTTTTTTGTTTATAACTTTCTTCTTTTCATTTATGAAAGAGGGTTTGATTTTAGACTCTGCTTCCACATTTCGTATTGCCTTTGGTTGATTTTATCAAATGGGAAGTGTTTGGTTGTTTTTTTTTTTTTTGGTATGAATTTTGCATTGATTCTATAGTGGAATTCTGTTGCTTCATGTTTCCCAAATGGAAATGTCATAGATCTTTCTTCATTACTTTATGCACTGGGATGACTGTTATGTACACTGGAGTTATGGTCTCTCTCTCCGTTTCTTTATTTTGTTACTTGCCAGTGATCATTTGTGTCGGCAACTCTGTTCTTCCCTTCTTCCGTCAGTCTTCATGCCTGATCGGTGGATCAGATTCTGTATTTTCATGGAGAGTGATACAGTTTCATTTTCATTACAATGACATGCATGTTGGGGTTGCATCTCTCTCTCTCTCTCTCTCTCTCTTTTCTAACTGGGGTTATTTTGCTTACCAGTTACCCTCTCTTTTGCTACCTTGAAGCTTTCCACTATTATTATTGTTATTAGTAAGATGGGATGGATACCTTGATGTTTTGGTTTTGGATTCTCAGTTTTGCTTAGAAGATTGATATAGACAATTGGTAGCGCAGACAATAATCAATATTTGTAACAATGAGGTGCAAATGACTAATCTTTTAATCGATCGATCATGTGTGTTGCATCTTTCAGCAATTGAAATGCTTTAGGCTTGATGAATTTGATAGTTGAGTTTGTTTTTTTTGTCGCCCCTTTTATTATTCCTTTTGGTGTTAGTTTGATGTTTCTTAGCCGAAGCATGGAAATGATATAAATTTAACTTTTTAGTAGATTTTTAAAGGAGAAGTATTTTCTGTGGTTGAGGCGCATTCGACATGTCCCGGTTATCACCTCGTAGGAACCAGAGATCAAAAGGTTTTAAGGTCAAGCATGCTTTGCAAATATGTCTACTGGTTGGTGTTTGTGTCTGGCTGCTTTACCAAGTCAGGCACTCTCATGATAAGAAAGCAGCATATGAGAAAAGTGTGAAAACAGAGAATGATGTTTTAAAATTAGGGAGAAAGGACCTCCAGCCTGAAGTTGAAGTTAAAGAAACAGTCATCAGAGATGAGAGGTCCAAGGAGGAGGAAGAAGAGGAAGAGAGCAAGAATGAAGAAGAAGGCACGCCTGATGGTAGCACGGGAACAGAGGGTGGCGATGATGAGATTCATGATCATTTTCATGATAAGACAGAAAAAGGAGCTGAGCATAGAGAAGATTCTATAGACAGGGAGAAAGAAACGGAAGATAAGACTGAAGAGGGAGTTGAGCATAGAGAGGATTCTGTAGATGGAGAGAAGGAAATGGAAGAGAGAAATGAGAACGTCATTGGAGAGATGGAGAGGGAGGGTATAAGGGATAGTGTTAATGATGAAACAGAGAAGGGAGAGATCAGGGAGAATGCTAGTGAGGATAAGGAGACTGAAGAGAGCAAAAGGAGCGATGGTTTAGATAAGGAAAATGTAGAGAGAAAAGAGATGGAAAATGAAGAGAGCAAAGAAAGTGAAAGCAAACACGGGGAGACTGAAGAAACCAAGGAGAACGAAGGGAGCAAAGAGAGTGAAAGCGAAGGCAGAGAGACTGAAGAAAGGAAAGAGAATGAAGAGAGCAAAGAGACAGCAAATGAGAATAAAGAGAGTGCAAGTGAAGAAAAGGAAAGTGTAGATGAGACTCAGCAGATGGGAATTAAAGAGGTTGTGGAACAAAGCAATGAGACAGAAAATAAAGAAAAAGAGATTGAAGAGAAGATTGAGAGTACAGGTTCAACAGAGGATCAAGTTAATGATGGAAATAATGCACATAGTGAGGAGGCAAGAGAGGAACATTACAAGGGGGATGATGCGTCCAGTGCAGTAGTCCATCAAACTCAGAACGGTATTCCTGAAGCGGAGCTAGGTGATTTGAAAAAATCTGATGAGGGAGAAAATAATGATTCCACAAATGCAACAACCAGTGAAGAGGGTGGAAATGAATCCCATGATACTTCCAAAGTAGCGACAGAAGTGAAGGAACAGGATCATGAAGATTCTAACTCCATTCCAGTTACTGCAGATAACATGGTATCAAAAGGAGAGGAGTCAACCATGAATAATGTTGAGCTAAAGCAAACTGAGAAACTGGAATCAGTTTCTGGCAACCAGCAATCAGATTCAGATGCAACACGTTCCAGTACAATCGAGAATGGAGATTCAAATAATGTAGAATTGATGGATTTTAACAAGTCTGGATCTGTTGGGTCAAATGGACAGACCATCAACTCCGATAAACCTTCATTGACAAGCCAAAATGGTCATTCGGGTCAGATTGACAAGTCCAACAGTAGTTCTGGTGTTGAAGGGAGTCTGGAAATTGTTCTATCATCAAACGGGAATGAAAGTGCTGATGCTGGGCAAACCGGACATGGTGATTCTCTGCACTCTGAAGAGAAAGACACATCCTCAAACACAAATAATGATGCTAATGCTGGCCAAGAGCAACAAGGTGACAATTGGAGCTCCCAAGAGAAAGATAAGTCATCAATCGCTAGTAACAATGATGATGCTAACCAGAATCAGAAGGATAGTTCTGTTAACAGTAATGCAAACAACAGCGGCAATAAAAATGTCAACACTGATGCAAGCCAAAAAGAACAAGTTGATCTTAACAATGGCAATGCTGACCAGAACAGCAACTCAAAAGACAATGGCAATGCAAATGAAAACACAGATGCAAACCAAAACGAACAAGTTGAATCCTCTAAAACGTCTCGAGAAGAGGGAGATGCCTCCACAAACACTGATGCAAGCCAAAAGGAACAGGCTGATCCTAACAATGGCAATGTTGACCAGCACACTGACTCAAAAGACAATGGCAATGCAAATAAAAAAACAGAGGCTAACCAAAATGCACAAGTTGAATCCTCTGATTCTTCAACGTCTCGAGAAAAGGGAGATGCATCCACAAACACTGATGCAAGCCAAAAGGAACAGCCTGATCCTAACAATGGCAATCCTGACCAGAACAGCGACTCAAGCAACAATGGCAATGCAAATGAAAACACAGATGCAAACCAAAACAAACAAGTTGAATCCTCTGATTCTTCAACCTCTCAAGACGAGGGAGATGCATCCACAACCACTACTAGCAGCACCGATATGAAGCAGAATGATTCTGTTGATTCTTCACTTTCTCAAGAAATAACCGAGGCTCGAACGGATTTGGGAACTTTGCCCAATTCTGGAACTGAGGGATCTAATGGAGGGGATTCAGCTGCAGAGTGAAGTTTCTATTAGATTATAGTGTCTACTTGAACTACTATTCTTGTTTTTAAGGTTTGTCATTATTATTTTTTTACCTTTTCCCCTTTTGATGATCAGGAAAAAGTGCAACGTTGTTAGCATGCATGTGCTTTATTGTAATTATGCTATGGAAGAATATTATATTTGGATCTTTACGTGAACAAGTTGATGAGTTAGAATGGAAGTTTTGCTGCGATCATAGCCTCAACAAAGTTAAAGCTCAGGCACTATAGGAGCCAACACTTTCCTTGTTGCAAGCGTACTTTCGAGTAGTTCCATAGTTCTAAATCTCTTATGCCATTGTGAAAATGGCCGTGGTTGTGATTGCAGGTCACAATTTATCATTGTAGTTAAATTATAATCATGATAATTAACGTCGTGAATGTATTAACGTCGTGAATGTATTAACGGTTGTTAATAAATTTATTATAAAAAAATTAAAAGTATTTTGTTTTAGAACATATCCGTTATTTATCAAATAACAACAACGACAATTGCTGCCATTATATAATGTAGTTTTTCCTGTTATTTGTATGAATCGAGTTTATGTTGTGTATAATGACCAAAAATAGTAAAAGAATTGAGCGATTCTGTTAAATGATGGCCTTATTTGTTATTTAAAACTATGTAGTTCCGTCAAGAGTGACATTTAGTTGAAAGAATCTAGCAGGAGTATCCTTTCAATTTGAAAGAGAAATGGCACCTGTGGTTTGGGCTAGAAGCATCTTCAAAACCTGATATTGCCCGAAAAGACTGAAATGAAAATACCAACCCAACTCTTTAAACCTGACAACCTAACCTCCAGCTGCCAGATATGAGTCCAGTGGAATATAATTTTCAGAATTAGGTGTTTTTTTCTCATCAATGTAACTGTAGGGCATTAAATATTATTGAAGTGGGGGGAAGGGGAATAAAAGGCAACTTGGCATCTTTCCAAGGGACGATATAGTCATTCTAAAATTTTACCGGCCTAATGTTATTTAAATAAGTAAATAAATAAAGGATTTAGGAGGAAGAAAATTTTCAGCCAGTTTAAAAGAATTATTAATTATTATATGTCACAATGACATTTTTTTATTCATATTTTTAAAAAAATTATTAGTTATCAAATTTAATCATACATTACATAGAACCAATATTAATTTAAAGAGAAAATCTATTTAAAATTAAAATGATAAATAAAAAAATCAGTAAATTAATAAACGCTCAAGTTTAAAATAATTATAAAAAACTAACATGCTAATGAAAATATTTTACTCTCAAAATTTCAACTTACTATAAAAAATCCCTACAGCTTTTTAGAAAGAATGAATATTTTTCACGTAATAAATTTTTTTTCATTATATTAAAAGTATTTGTATATATAAAAAAATATAAAGAATATTGATTTTTTTTTTTTTTTTGGCAGCCAAGAAAAGGAAACGGAAGAAAGAAGGATATTTAAAAAAATTCTTATTTAAAGTTTCTATCATATAAATATTTTGAAACAAATATAAATAAAAAAAATTAACAATCTTTTTGAAACGAATAGAAGATAGTGCTTAATAATTTAATTATTCTAATCACGATTGAAAGAATCAATAGCTTTTAGTTAGTCAATAGTCAAGCAAATTTTTTGGGTGTTGTTGGGTCAAAAAGCCTACAAGCCCAATCCCAAACCGGTTATATAAACATGCTTATTCGGGTCAAAATACCTTGTAAGATTGTCAGCCCATTTTAATGCTGGTAAAGCCATGGGTAATGGAACCTTCTTGGCTTGGCCAGTCACCTCATGCAAGAATATAACTGGAAAGTTACTTGATTTCGAGGAGTTTATAATTTTGGATGATAGATCTCTTGTATCGTTATTTTGCTAGGGGATCCAGCTTCTTTCACTTTCAGCACAAACTGTATTATTTTGAAACATGTACTGGATTTTTCTTTACCCAACTTTCATCTTGGAAGACAAGTCCTATGTCATGTTCTTTTGAACTACGTAGGTTTCTTTCCAAGTTCTTGAACACTTGCTCCACAAAACATTCAGGATTCTGTATGGCAGCAACTCACACTGAACTTCAAAAAACTGTCCTCCAACACTTCCGTACTGGGAAGGATGAACTATGAATTGCAACATATTTAAGATGAGGAAATAATATTTCAAATCATTCATTGATTTTATTTTGGTCGGAGCACTTAAACAGTTAACAGACGAAATAGGACAGAATCGAATTCCCACATGCGAAGTCATAAAACCGAAGTGCTAACGTCAAATTCAAAGAACATCCAAGGTTGTCTCATCGATCTGTCTGAAGAAAACGGTAGGAATGTGCTAAGCAAAGGTACTTTCGGATATGTCAACCCAATAACGAATTCTCAGTGATGCTCAACCTTATGCTCGAACAACCCATCTGGTCCTGCATATCACCAAAAAAGATAGAAGGCATATGAGATATAAAAAATCAAGAATACTACTAGGTATTACAATTGAAAACTTGAAAAAGAACATTCACTGAATTTGGCACAGAATGGGTGCAATGCTTTGACACGGTTAGAGGCTAACCTTGTTTGTGGAAAACATAATACAACTAAACTAACCCAACCAACTAATGCCCATGGATTGCTGCATTTCCACTTTGGAATCTGAATTATGCTGAATTGAGACTAAACATGTTGGATATCCCATCCAAAAGCAAGACAATGGCAATCTGCATAATGTCAAGTGCAATCCTAACTTGCTCTTTGTTACCAAATCAACACTACATGTCACTATATAGCAGCAACAATTAGCATCAGAGTGTAAACTTGTTGGCAAATATAAACCTATAATTTTCAGCATTTATAGACCAGTTAGTTAATTGCCTCTACGAACCATCGACTGGAAATGCCATTGAAGTTTCATTGCATGGAATCATCTGGTGGCACCATATATTAACCACACCAGCATGATTACCAAAACATTTGAAAAACTATACATCGAGTCTTCAATATACAAACTGAATTGAACCAAGCCAGGCCAGCACATTGAAGTTTGGTTTGGTTAAGCAGGAGGAAAGCCTAAGCAGTTAGTTGGGCTATGATATCTGCCATGAAACTTAGGGCGACATTTTTCTATTAATAGAAGCACCATATGATACAGACGACGAACGAAGTGAAATTTATGTCTTTTTGTAGACCTTGTATTTCTGTAATTCCAGATTTGCTGGGAAATCTGGAAAAATTGTCTTAAGTATAGATTTTATTTTCTATTCAGTATTGTATTAGTCCTAAAGTAATTAGATTTATTAGTTCTTTCCTATTCTAAATAGAACTATTAGTATTTTCTTATGCTGGAAGATAAGTCCTAGAAACACTATATAAAGCTTGTTCAATACAGACAAATCAGTTTATGAATAAAATTTCAACAACTTTGCTTTTGATTGTGTGACTCTATCTTTCCTTAAGGGTGACTCATAAGAACCCTAGGAGTGAAACTTAGGTTTTTCTATCCTCTAGGTGTGACTCTAGTAGTTTTACATTCAACCCCAATCCCTTGAACGATCTCCACTAGTCCCATAACACTCATACCTTCATACTTCTTCAATCTTAAAGCCATTAGCCACCAAAAATCAACCTATAACCACTAAACACACTGTTCACAGCCCTAAAACAGTCCCTGAAATTCAGATCCAGAGCAGTCCCCACAGCTGTCCTGCATCACCATATCTTCACCGGCCTCAAGCTCTCAACCAACATGGTTCGACCCCTATCATGGTAGAAATTAACATGGAAATAATCCAATTCCATTGGAAAAAAAAACCTACAAGCAAAATGTCTAAAGTTCTTTGATAGCTTAATGATGTCTTTCCAACATCCAAAGTCTAACGGAAACTAGCAACTCTTTCCCTTTCAGACAGTTGCACAGTTGAAACAAATTCAAACAAAATAAGCAAATTAAAAGCTTCAAATTATTTTAAACAGTCGTGCCATTGGACAAAATGGGCTCAAAATATTAGCAACTTACCACAAGATTGCATATTGCCAAAGTTAATAACAAAGCAGCATACGTGGGAAATCAAAATCCAATCAATATTGAGAATGTCAAAAGTACATTTTTTTAATGGGGAAAGTAAACAAAATCAGTGAATAACAGTAAGATAATACTAATCATTACCTAAACAACACCTTAAAAACCGAAAAAAAAAAAAAAAGGAACAAGCAAGAACATTGAAAAAAACTATAGGACAAAGTACAAACAATTTTTTAAGAAAGTAGTTTTTTCTTTGTTTTTATTCTTTGGATGATAAGAGTTGGATTTGAACCCAAGACATTACTTCCTCTCCTTTGGGACAGACAGTACCACTGCATCAAACATCCATTGGTTTGAAAAATGCACTCCAACTTACTAAGATAAAGGTCAATAAATACCATTAAAACCACACACACACACACACACACACACACAAAAATCACAATAAGCAGTAATACAAAGGTACTCATATTTTCATTTTTAAGTTAACTAAGAAACAGGCAATTATTTAGTAATATAAATGTACAATGTTGCATGGACTGAGTGTGTGAAACACAAACACCCATGGCCAAATTGATCAGTGGCGAATCTCTCAATGTTTAGGCATAATGCAGGTATGGGTTCCTTCAAAAAACTATATAAAGCAAAATAGCCCTCGGATCTGATAGCTTTCAACTAATCATACAGTCTTATCGCTAATGGTGTCAAATCAAAAAGCTTCTCATGCCACCACAACATATAAATGTGTGTGTTCCTATGTATAAATATGCATGGAGGCATGCAAATGGAGAGAGGACAATGGAGGTAGTGACGGCAGCAGTGGGGAGTGAAGGTTAATGATGAACTACTCATTGCAACTGTCCAATACAATTTGTGATGAGCATTGGCAGGCATAAAATATAGAACCAGAAAAAAAATTATGAAATCCATAATCAAGATTCCAAAGAATTAAAAACAGAGAACGGATAATCAAGTAAAAGTGACAGAGAAGGGGTTGAGGGAGAGATACATGAAGAATGAAAAAAAAATGTTTAATGTGATAATATAAACGAGGTTAAAAATGTAAAGTTTCAGATTTTAGGCATTTTTTCTACCGAAGTTATATACTGAACCTACGAAGTGTCCTTTGGAAATACCATAAAAGGGACTACCCCAACATTAGTGCCCAAAATATGTAAATAGAAGAAAGTATGCATCAAAGACTTCCAACAAACATGCTGAACCGAACCAGGAGCAGGTTTGAAGCATAGAAATTGGTTCAGACTATTAGTGATAACTATAGCCTATTAATTTCCACACACAAAAAAAATGATAAAAATAAGCCATGCAACTTTGGGCAATATTTGATATGGGCATCATATCTTCAGCAGCCAATTCCAATCGAGGAAGCAAAACGACACAGAAATCACCATTCTCTATGAGCAAGCTAAAAACCTCAATTCAAAATATAAAAACATCTCAAAAGTTATTCAATTTCTTAATGAGGTTTCTCCAACATCCAAGTCTACCAGAAATTGCTACAAGTTCAGAAGTTGAGAGAATTTAGAAAGAATGAAAAAACACAAAATCACAAAGACAAAGCAGTGTGACAATTTCAAAATAATTGAGCAGAAGTGTGAGAAAAAGAAAGAAAACAAGATATTTCCCAAGCCAACAACAAACCAGCAAGGTTTACCCAGCAATGGAAAGTCAAAATCCAAAAAAATAACATACCCCATGGAAACTCCTTGTTGCGAATATGCAAATACGGGTACTCCTGCACATCAAATTGAAACACAAATTTAATCAGAAAACAATCAAGTAGTATTGAAGAAAGTAACTGTCAAATTGAAAAGAAAGCTTACAGGAGGCTGTTCGTGGTGGGGATGGCCCTTAGACAGGTTAAAAATAGCCAATATAGTGCAGGTAGCAACACCCAAGTACGTTATCTTCTCCCACTTGGCCGCCTCATCTAACAAAAACCATAATAGACCCAGAAAGAATTGAAATCAAGATCGCGATTTCCTACATAAATTGAAGAAAAAATAAAACAGGAGAAATACATACAAGCATCGTCGTGATGGGCAGACGATGAAAAGCTTCGCCTGGCAGGAGCAGAGGGTTTGGAGCCGTTGCGAAGAGCGTTTCGAACAAGAGCAGATCGCATCATTGACATCGCCATTTCCTTTTGTTTCTTCTCTCTATCTCGTTCCTGTTGTTGCCTTCAATTTCGAATGACAGCGTAAGCAATACCGTGGTAATTAGTAACCTACCTCGCTCGTCCTCTGAGGGCAGCCTTCGCACGTGCAAGGGCTTAAAATGATAATAATCCAACAATTTCTATTTTCTGCTTTAAAAATATTTAAGTTTAATCCTATTTTCTTTTTCGTTTTTAAAAATTTCCTATATTTTTTCATCATATTTTCAACCTAACAATATATATATACACACATAGCATTAAAAAAATTACAAAAGTGTCATTAAGTCAACAATGTTCTATGAGCGGGCGAACAAAGAAAAAACAATCATAAGAATTGTTAATTATCTAATTTTCTTAATTTGTCCTGCCACCTTGGTTTTTTATTTTTTTATTTTTTTAATTTTTTACTAAGTTCCAAGAAAATAAAAAAATTGTTGACTATCTAATTTTCTTAAATTTTTGTTGATTTTTTTAATAAAAGCAAAAAAAAAAGAAGAAGAAGAAGAAGGAAGAAGAACAAAAGTAACATAAACTAAGAAATAACAATTAAAAGTTTAAAGTGAGCAAAAATTGGGATACGAAATCATAAAATAATCAATAATATAGTCTAAATCCATCAAAATAAATAAGAAAATTTCTACTTTAGTTTAATTTTTTTTAATTTTTTCTCTTTTATTTTTTAATTTTTTTTATATGTATCTTTCTCTTAAAAAAATGAATTATAAAATAACTAATGTACATGTATATTAATTATTTTTAAAATATTATAAAATTTCTCAAGAGTGTACAATGTTGTCGTATTTGGTTTTAGTATTTTGTTAATAAAATTTATCTTAACTCTATGTCTTTTGATCCTTCAGGTTCCTTGAAATATTAAATTTAATCCGTAAATAACAAAAACTTGGCAATTTGATCCAATAGCTCGAGACCGATTGAATAGCATTTGTTTAGGGTGTGAACGCTGAATTAGGACTGACCAACTTAAGGTCCCTTTTTCTTCACACCACCACCAAATGCCACCTGATCTTGTAGGACCTCCAACATTCTCCTCAATCCCCCCTTTCGCCACCACCAGATCTTCACAAGCACTCGTGAATAAAACCTCCCCTCACTCAAGAACGCCTAATTGAAACATTATTTTATTTGAGGGTCAAAGGCTCTGGATATTTTTTTACTGTTTTAAATATCTTAATCATGTTCCTTTATTGAAATTTTCAATTATATGTCCCTTTGTTTTTAATTCCCTTCGATCATTTTTTCTGACAACGGATACAAAAATAACAAAATAAAAAATATCAAAAGTTATATTCATTGTTTAAAAAAGTGAGCAAAAGGATTAAATGCAAACACAATTAAAAGTAGAGGGATATAATTGAAATTTTTAATAAAAAATATAATAAAAAAATTTAAAGTAGTAGAAGCACATACTAAGACCTTCTTTTATTTGATTGCTATATGCGCAAAGCGGAGCTTATTCTTCTAACAAAATATTCATCTCCACTCCTAGTGTGTGGTCAATGTGGGCACGTGGGAGAGTGAGGAGCCTTTCCAGGAGAAAAGGCGCTACAGATTGATTATTTGTAGGTAAATCTTATCCTCAATATGTAGAATGCTTAAGCAACATTGCTCAAGTATTTCACTGTTATATTTTTTTCAAAAATTGAAAATAATTTTAATAATTATAAAGGTTAATACAGAGAGTTACCCCTTTTAATTGTCAAATGCAATCGGAAAAACAGATTGATTTTGATCTACTGTTATTCTGCCAAATTATGAATGATTGAAGTATAGCGAGTTCTTCTTTCTTCTTATTCTTTTACAGATATATTATTTGTGTCTCGGGGTTTGTCTTCTCAAACCCATTTGTAATCAGAAGAATGAAGGAGCTTTAATGCCCCTTTTTTTTTCTTTGGCACGACCACCAAAAGCTTTGGATGAAGAAGAGACTGAGTTTCTTGATAATTTACAAATGGTGGGACTATGCCGTTAAACTCTTATACTGCCAGTAGAAGTCCAGCTTCATCTGCCTTTAAAACTGGGAGATGGTTTTTCCTTCAATCTATCAGCTAGGACTCTTCGAAAATGCCTGTTACATAAAGAGTTTGGATTATAAGATAACTATTTGGTTTTTTCTTTGAGATATAATTACGAGAATAGAATTGATTTGTTAATTTATTTTTCAGAGTTTTTGTTAATGCTTTTTTCTTTTCTTTTCTTTTTCTCTTTGTTAATACGTTTTTTCCAAGTAATTTATTAACTAGTTTGAAGGACTTGTTTTATTGTTAGATTGATTGCATTTGACAATTGAAAAAAAGCAATACACACGACATGTCATTTATATTTTGTTAACAATTTTTTTAATAACGGTGGAATGCTTAAAAAAACATCTTAAAAATAAATAAACAAATAAATCTTTTGCTTAACGAAGTAAAAGAGTTTTAGAGAGAGAAGAACGAATGTTTAAACACGAAGAAACCTCAATTCAAATCTATATGTTCATTTTCAATTGAATTTTAAATCTATAAATATTATCAATTAGATCTCAAATACTTTAAAAATTCTCAATTAAGTTATTTTATTGAGGTTCATCAAAAAAAATTTCAAATCAATGTCTTTTTATTGCGTAAATATGTATATTAGACTAAAAATAAAAAATATTCATTAACTTGTTCATTAAATTTTTTCAAATTATACTATAAACTAAAAGAAAATAGTTTTCATTGTAACAATTAACGGTGTTAATCACTATTCATTGATACGAGTGCTTTAGTTCTTTTTTTAAAAAAAAAATTTCACTTTTTTTTTTTTTGACAACGCTGGCCTTCTTTTCCCTTTTTCCCGTTTATTGTTCATTTGAACACTAAACAGTTGGCCTCCCCTTTTTTTCTTTTTCTTGAAATTGAATTTTTTTTTTAATTTTCATTTCTTGATAATGTTAGGTGTTATAATTTTAAATGAACCAACAATTAATTGAGCGTTAAAATTTTAAAGAAACTAATAATTTATTTCTAAAATTTAAAAACACAAATAAGAAATAATTAAATAAAAAAATTTTGATTAAAAAATTATAATTATTTTTTACCATAAAACAGATTATTAAACTGAAATAACCTTTTTAAATGATTTTATATATTTTATTCATCCAGCAACGTATGCGGATAAAAAATCTAGTAGACACTATTTAGTGTGTAAAATAAGAAAAATTAAACTTTACTAATACTCTAAAACATAAGGCACATTCATTGTGCGTTTCACTGTTCAATGAACAGTGTTTTTCAGTCTTTTTTTTTTGTGGTAAAACACTTTATTGTTTTTTTCCCCTCTCCTAGCCTTTCTTCCACTTTTTACAAGCAAGTTTTTTTTTTTTTTTTTGCTTAAAAAAAAGTAGTTTAGTTTCATCCTTTTTTTTTTATTTAGTTTCACTATACATGTTTTTTTCTCTTTTTTTTCCCCTTGCTTTCTTTATCAATTTGGATTCTTTTAACTTTTTAAAATTTTCATGTTTGTTTTATTTTGATCTTTAAAATTTTAAAATAAAAATTTTAATCCCCTAACTGATGCACTACACATGGTTTTCTTTTCTTTTCTTTTTTCATCAATTTATTTTTTTATTTAATTAAGTGTTAAAATTTTGAAAAATCAATTTTGCTTTTTTTCATCAATTTATGTTCTTTTTTTTATTTAATTAGATGTTATTAAAATTTTGAAAAATAAATCATTATTTTTTTACACAAACTAACTATTATATAATATATTCGATATTTTTTACATTTATATGTTTCTTTGCTTTTTTTCATCAATTTATGGTCTTTTTTATTTAATTAGGTGCTACAATTTTAAAAAATCAATCGTTATTTTTTTTGTTTACACAAACTAACTATTATATAATTTATTTATGTGATATTTTTTTATATTTATGTGATATATTCTTCTTCTTTTTTTTAGTTTCAATATACATGCCTTTTTTTTTCCTTTGCTTTTTTTCTTATTCATCAATTTAGGTTCTTTTTTATTTAATTTTAAAATTTTTTAGATTATTTTATTTTGATCTCTAAAATTTTAAAATAAAATTTTTAATCCCCTAACTAATGCATTACACATGCTTTTTCTTCTTTTTTTTTCTTTGCTTTTTTTCATCAATTTATTTTTTTATTTAATTAGGTGTTAAGATTTTAAAAAATCAATCGTTATTCTTTTTTTACACAAAGTGACAATTACATAATATATATGATAATTTTTACATTCATATGATATGTTTTAAGATTTTAGAATAAATAAACTACTATTATTGTTTAAAATTAATTTTTTCGATAAAAATTCTCATCGAGTTAATTTTTATTCTTATTTTTTATATAATTTTATTTATTAATAGACATGACTTATTTTCCCTATGTATGGTTTTGAATAAGTTTTTTTTTATAACTATTTTTATTTTTTTAATTCTTATATAATCAAAATTTAAAAATTGAATATATATATTTTATTTTCTTATTTTTATATAATCAAATTTTATCGAAATCAATTTTATAGTTTTTACTACACTCTATTAACTTCAATACATATATTACTATTTAACTTTTTAAAAATCATTTTTAGTTTATTTTATACATTCTCACCCATTGAGTATGGTCATAATGTATACAAAATAATAATATTAGAATCATTGATTTTAGTAAAAAGCAACTATGCATCTACACACACAATATCAACTATTTACTATTATTTTTTATATTTAAAATGCTTTTTTTCAAATAAAATAATTGAAATAATATTTTAGAATAATTGCCTAATAATTCAAATACAATTTTGTATACCAATATTATTCGTTATTTTGTAAATAAATATATGTAAATCAAATGTATATATTTAAAAAAACATATTCTCATCAATAAAAAAGTTTCATTTATTAATTTTCATAAAATGCAAGTTTTTATGTTAATTGTTGCTTTATTTCTTTGATGCAATATAATGAAAAAAAATATTAAGATGTTTTTTTCTAAATTTATATTAAAATTTGTTTATTATGGGTTTTCATATATATACTATCTTTTTTATATTTTAAAATTAATATATATTTCAGCTTATACTACTCTTATAATTTAAATTTCATTATTTGAATTCATCATTTCTTATGAAAATTCTCATCCAATTAATTTTTTATGTAAGATTTTATTTACTGATAAATATAATTTATTTTTCTCTATATTTGAATTTTAGAATAAAATTTTAAAACATAATTTTTTTCTTCTTAAAAAATAAATTGGTATAATATACATCATGAATTCTTTTAATTTTAAATGATATTTACATATATATAAATATATAATTATTTTATTCTAAAATATTAAAATTTTATTTCAAATAATTTGTTTCGGTTAAATAGATATGGTCAAGACGTATAAAAAGCTGTTGAATCATTAATTTTATTTAAAATTAACTATATATCTTCCAACCTAATACAAAATATTTACCATGAATATTTTTTTAACATTATAGAATCAATTTATTTGAAATAAAACAATTAAAATAATATTTTAAAGGAACCAACTAATTATTCAAATATAGTTTTTTATGCTAATTCTATTTATTATTTTGTAAATAATATATATAGATCTAATGCATATACTTAAGGAAAAAAATAATCTTCTCACCAATAGTAAATAAAAATAAAATTTTATTTTTTCATTCGTTAATTTTTATGTAAATATATACATTAAATGTAACTTTATTTTTTTATTCATTCTTATAAAAAAAATATAGCCTTAAAGTATTTGTTTTTGAATTCTTAATTAATATTTCAGGTTTAAATTATTACAAGTTTTTATTTAAGAATTTCTGAATAGAAAAGAATAAATCATGTTTTTTTAAGCAGAAATTTTATGAAAAAATTATAATAATTAAATAAAAATTAATGAAAAAAGTATAAAATTTTTAAATGATTTTGTTCTATCTACATGTGGCGTTGCTTGAGATAATTTCAAAAATTATCTTCTCATCAATATTAAATAAGATTTTTTTTCATTTGTTAATTTTTGTAAAAGTCTATCCATTAATTATAACTTTATTTTTTTGAATATAATATTATGATAATTATATTTTAATTTTTTTAAATTCTTGATTAATATTTTATTTAAAATTATTATATTGTTTTATTTTAATAGCAATCCATAAAGGAGAATAATTTATGTTTTTTAGGTAAAAAAAAAATTTAAATTAAGCAAATAAAAAATTATAATTAAAAAATTTTCAAATTTTAAAATGATTTTTTTATCGGATCCACGAGCGTGGGCAAATGACTAGTAAACTACTAAAACAAATTGAATAAAGGACATAGTTGAGAAACGTAGAAATTTTTTTTAAAATTAAATTGATAAAATTAATAGATTTGTGACGTAATTGAAAATGTATATATAGATTGGAGACTAAATTGAGGTTTTTCTTTTAAATAATTAATGTCACTACTTGTTAGGCTAACAAGTAAAGGTAGAGATACTAAATTTTTTATTTTTATGTTTTTACTAAAATTCTTTACCAAGTAACCTAACATCATGCAATTGATGTTTTTATCTATCACTCAACTTGATAATTATCCCATTAAATGTGATAAGATCTACTTTTCTCTGATTGGAAATTCTTTATAATAGATGTCACGTCATTCAAGAAGCAAAACTAAGTGAAAATACTTAGTAACCCTAACATTACCCATCAATCAATATTTTGTGGTTAATTTACCTATAAACTGCCTTAAATGATTTGAACTTTCAAGGGCGTTCATTCTTGTCTCATACATCACACGGGCCACCAAATCACACTCTCGGCCATAATATATATATATATATATATATATAATAAAAAGAAAGGCACAAGATTAGATCGTCATTTTGAAAGAACAAGTTAGCGATGTCAAAAATTTGACCAAAATAGTATGCTAAGCTTGCAGCAAAGTCTCGTTTGTTGAAATTTTGTAACACTTTTTTGACGGAATTGGATCTCTACATTAATCTTCCGTCGTTCATTATTGCCCAATTGATTAATCATCAATTACCAATAACCTATAACGAAAAGGATGGGACGTCACGTGATTCGAGAAGAAACATTGCATTTGTTTTACTCGAACTTGCCTTGTGGTTTACACAATAGGTCGGCATTTTGATTTGTTTGAACTTAAAGATGACGATATTGTCATTGATGAAACGAAGTCTTCTAATTTTGCACGAAAGTATCATCATGATTGGAGGGAGTATTGTAATTGTGTTAATACTACAAGTTATCGTATCAACGACTCAAATTGCCCCTGACTTTCTACAACAATAGCGAACAATTACAATAAATTTCCTTTTTCAAAAAAAAATCTCAAATTCAAATCTTTTCTTTATAATAATAATAAATAAATAAATAACAATAACCGACAATAGATTGAAGATATGGAATTTTAAATGTCTCATTTGTTGCCAACTTCTTATTTACTTATACTAATTTAAAATTTTAATCTCCAACACCACCAATAGATTTTTTTACAAGCCTTGTATGTATATAAAACTAGACTTAATAGTAGTTACATAAAAGAATTAGTTTAATCATCACAAAAAAAAAAGAAGAAAAAAATACGAGCTTTGTTAAATTTATCATCAATTTGTTATTCTCGTTGCTTTTTTTAAAAAATTACTAATACACCATCTTCATTAATGTTTGTGACTATATTATAATTATATATATTCTATATCGAATATTTAAAATACTCAAAAGTTAAATGTGCATGATAAACTATATGTAAAATGTGTCAAAGTTAACTTTTTATCTTTTGTGTACGGTTAAATTCATTATCAATTTTTATTTTAAATTACCAACATATCATTCCATCAACGTTTTATTACTATATCATAATTAATATATTTTATATTAAATCCTTAAAATACTCATAAATTAAATGTGTATGAAAGTAAAAATAAATAAATAAACAAAAAAATATTGATGTATATTTAATATAAAACATATTTAATTATAATATATCAATAAGCATTGATACGAAGGTGTGTTGGTAATTAGAAAACAAAAAACAAAACGATGAAAATAACAAATTTAATAATGAATCTAGCAGTACTCTAAAGATAAAAAAAGTTTTAACTTTAACTCGTCTTACCTATAATATAAATAAATTTAATTCCTAACATTTTTTAAGATTTACTTATGTGCTAAAAATTATTCTCAAATCCAATTACCATGAGGCCCAGACTAAAGGAAATTGACAACATATGCCGTGGTGATCACGACCGTCAGCTCGGTCAACATAATGGAAGTCATGAGGTCTCCCACTTCGTATTTAAAGAACCAAAGCTTATTAAAGATCGTAGAAATAGAATAATCAAATGAATCTAGTCAAGAAGACCGTACACCGACTATTGTTTGGCTATTGACTACGAAGTTCTAAAAAAATAGGATATAATGATAATAAAAGAAAGGATTAATCGTAATTTCTTTTTTTTCCTTCCAAATTTAATTAGTTCACCTGTCTTTCTTTCAATTTGTTATTTATAATAAAAAAATAAATAATCTTTTAATCAAAAAATAACTAGCGCATTACTTATGAGTTGTTTAGTATTCAAAAATATTAATATCTAACACAAATTTATATAGTTTTTATAACATTTTTTTTTCAGCTTGATATCAATATTTTAATTATTACATCGGTTAAAATTGATTTAGAAAATTTTCATCCTAAAAATAAAATATAAATATTTTTTAATAAAAATATAATATATTTTATTTTCTTGATGAATATCTTAATTTTTGGAAGAAATACTATTGTAACATTTGATTTCATAAATTTATTAAAAAAAGAAATACTTAAATGAAAAAAAATAAGGACTCAAATAATACATCATTGAACTTTTACACTATCATAAATTTAATTAAGAGATGGTTTTCTTTTCTTTTTTTTCTTTTTTGGTTTTTGTATCTCACTAAAAAATATTGCATTTTAATATGGATTGATTTAGTATAAGAGATGGTTTTCTTTCTTTCTTTTTTTTTTTTTTTTTTTTTGTATCTCACTAAAAAATATTGCATTTTAAACTCAAACTTATGATATAAGTTTTCAAACTTATTTGAAATATATTTTTTTAACAGTATGTCTGCCAAAAGGTTAAGATGTAAATATAATGACTTCATAGAATACACTTTGAATCACCATTTTACTATAATAGAATTTAGGAATAATTACTAAAATCCCCTTATAAAATATTTTCTATCCACAAAAACCAATCAAAATATTTTTCTATCTATAAAACTCTGAAATAAAATTTTCAGGTCCCAAAAAAAAAAAAAATCAAACTCAAACTCTAACTATTCCTCCAAGTTTTATTCAATATTATATTTATAATTTTTACATTTAATTTGCAGATATATTATATGACATAAATTGCATAGATATAATACACAATAATTTTTTTTCTTCAAATTGCATCGTATATATCTGTGTTTCTTAAATTATTAAGAAGGAAAAAAAATACCGATATTTACAATTGTTGGTTTTTCTTAATATAAATTTTATGACGAAGACCATTATCAAAAGAATTACAGGATGAAAACTGTATGACCAACTAATAATTACATCGAGGACTTCAGAGTCTAGCAAGGGAGAGAGGATGGAAAAGAAGAAAGGGAAAAAAATTAAAAAAAATTGAAGTATCAAAATTGCAGGCACACCGAAATACGGGAACCCTGACGTCATGATCAAACTTGAAGGGACCGCAGCTTCGTTAAGTGCTCGATACTGCTCTTTTGATGACCATCATCCTCTCTGGAACAGCTGTTTTGAAGTAGAAATTCCCCAAAAGATTTCCCTCCGGCTGGACTTACACTAGTCTTGCCGTAATTGCCATCATCATCCTCCTTAGTTTCTTCAAAATCAAGGAAGTGCGTAGCTTCTTCTTCCCTGCGCAACAACACAATTGACCACTTCCTCCCGTGCCAAAAAACATCTTTCTCTCTGATCCCATGATCACAGCCGTCCATCATCTCTCTCACCTCCTCTTCTCTCCATCCTCCGTCTCTCAACCTCCAAAACACCTCTTCCAAACAATCTCTCAACTCCAAATGATCCAACTCCCTACCAACATTATTCCACCACACGGGAGTAGTCTCTCCACGCGCCACCACTCTCCTCCCTCTCTCCACCACCTCCGTCCAAAATTCAATCTTCCGGGCGTCTGTGGCTGCCCACGCAGGCACATTTATGATGGATGCATTTTTCTTTCCTGACAGACTCAGAGGCTTGTTAAAGCTACAGTGAAACCCCATTTGCAAGAAGTCAACTTGTTGAAAAAACGTCGTAACATCAAAGCTGAAAACACGCACTTCTCCATCATCAACGTAAAAGACGGGGTTACCGGCGACGTTAGGGGTAGAGGGAATATAACAGTTTCTATATATGGGCACAAGAACTGGTGCTTTATCCAAGAAGCGTTTTGCAATATCGAGGGCTTGTTTCGTATCTTGAGGTTTGTGACCCCAAGAATCAACCCAGAAGTTGTTTAGACAGATATTCTTGGAGAGGTTCAAGGAAGGAAGGTTTAGGAGGATTTGGAGTTGCTGTAAAGAGGAAGAACGCCAGTTGGGGAAGTGAGGTCCAACAGGAAGGCCTTCTTGGAGAATGGAGCGAAGGTCAGGTGGGAAAGTGAAGTGGAAGGTGGATTCGATACAGGTGAATTCAGAGTCTGTGAGGCCAGGGAGGATTGGGATGTTGAGAGATTTTAGGTGGTCTAGTAAGGTCTTGGCATAGGCGGCGAAGGAGAAACATACTAGCTTTGGTGGTGGCAGCGGCGGCGTAGTAGCACTAATACTACTGCTGGTGGGCTTGGGTTTTGCTGGGGTCAGTAATCTACTCCTCTGTGCTGCTGCTGCCATATACAGAGAAATGAACGATCAAAAGAGGAAAGAATTGACGGTGGTTGTTAAATTTATGTACAGATGAGAAGAAGTAACTAAATATTGACGATGACAACAAATTTGTGTTTGTTTTTGTGTCAAATTTTGTGTTTATGTTTGTGTGGGACTCATAAATTGTTGTCTTTTGATTAATTTGTTATGAGGAAAACCGAGTTTGAAGGAGGAGAGAGCGAACAAGTCTCCATGAAGTTAAGATCCGTATGGGTTGGGTTTGAAGAGAGAAAAGTTTGACTTTACTGTTTTATATATATATATAGTGCTTTTATTAATTCATAAAATAATCTCTAATATTATCATTTTAGTCTATTTTGTATTTTTTAATTTTAACAAATGAAATATAATTTATTAAATTAAAAAGGAGATTACTGAATGAAAAAATGGAGATGGGGGAGGTCAGTGATAATATAAACACGGAAGAAAAAAATTAATAATAATAAATCAAATAATGAAAAAATGAATTTTTAATTTTGATCAATTGTATTCAATTATAAAAATTATATTTTTTTAATTAATGGATGAAAAATATAGAAAGCAGACAATGAGGATCGAGGAGAAGTTGAAAGTGGACATAACAATAACTCTCGTGAATGCCAAAATTAAGAAACAAACAACCGAAGTGGTTTTTTCTTACTACAAATAGTGTCCGGTATCAATTTCTATAATGGAACACTATTTTATTACTTTTTTTCAGTTTTAAAAAATTATTTATCTTTTTTATTTATATGTGTTTTGTTTGATCAAAATTTTAAATAAGATGAACATATAACATAATAATTATGATATATCAATTAATAACTTTCTTAATATATATGAAAAGTAAAAAAAAAATTGGAAAGGAGGAAATTCTATATTGTTATTACTAATAATTAATTAACAGTAAATATGAGGAATTTTTCTTTTTTACTTGATTAGCTAATTTAATTTACTTAAAAAATAAAATAAAAATCAATGAGTGTCTTGTGGAGTTGGGTAATTTCAATAAATGAAAATGGATATTGTAGAAAAGATATGCCTGTTTATTATCCCATGATCATATATGATAAAGAATATATAATTTACGTACCTCAGTTCCCTGTAGCCTCTGCCTTGTTTAATCTAAACTTATAGTATACTACAAATAAATTTGTATCGTGCCTCGGCTCCATTTTATTTTTTTCTCAGCTCCATTTCGTTCAATCCATTTAATAATCCAACCGTCACTTAAGGATCGAAAATGGTCTCTATGGATTCCATTTGTGTCGCTGAAAATGACATTAATTATGTGAATCAAACACATTGCATATACTACACGTTAACATCCATTTACAAAAATTTAGTAAACTTTTCCTTATATATATATATATATATTACTAGTCGGATACCCACGCTATGCGTGGGCATACAATAATTATCTATATAAGATTAATAATTCATATAGTATAATATCAATAGAAAGTTTTATTTTTTGTAATTAATATAAATTGAATCTATATATAGTTAATTTGTAATAAAACTATATATATAATATTGAATATTAAGAGTATAGAGAATAAATAGATAAATATACAAAAAAAACCCACCTAAATTATAGAAATATATTGAAGTCAATATATTAAAATAAAAACTACAACAAAATTTATTCTGATAAATTCTGAATAAATATATATAAAAAAATAAATAAAACTTGTGATTTTTTAACTCATTATTTAAAAAAAAATTGAGTCAAACTATCTAAAATATACTTTTAGCTCTCTCTCTCTCTCTCTCTCTCTCTCTCTCTATGTATATATATATATATATATATATATATATATATATATATATATATATATATATTAAAAAATAAAACATTGAAGTTGTAAAATTTTATCCCAAAATTCATATATTAAAAAAATAAATTTATTAAGAAATAAAATTATATGAAAACAAATTTATTAACAAATAAAAGTATATCAAAAAATTATCAGTCATTACAAATTTATAATAAAATTAAAAATTAAAAATATTTTAAAATGATCATTCTAACCTAAAAATATATTTGTTAATCATAGCCCTATATGTGTATGTGTGAAGAGAAAAGAAAAGAAAAGAAAAAATGTCGGGCACCCAAGCTTGGGTCTATGAAAAAATAAAAAGGGAGGCTGTCAGGCTGGGCAGCCAAGGCTTGGCGCGTGCAAGCCTTGGTTGCTAGTTAACCCAACAGCAAAAAAAATAAATAAATAATAAATAAATAAATTAGGGTATTGTTCATCATTATAGACAGACGCTAGTTCTTTTAGTTATATATAATAGATATGATCTTTCTTCGGTTTTTACACCAATTGATATTAGATTTTTATTTTTTAGACTAAATCAATATTGAATCACATCTAACTTTGGATTCATTATAGAAGTTAGATTTTTTGAACTCACCAATAGCCAATTCGGATTAAATTGTTATTTTCAAACTAGATTTAGTATTATATCATATCTATCATTTGATTGATTTTAGATTTCAGAATTAAGTCTTCTCTTTCTAATTTAGATCGGTATTTAATTTTTTAACTCATTAGTATGCCATCAAGACTAAATTCTTACTTTCTAAAATCATATATAGTTTTAGCTTACATCTAATTTTGGATCAATCATAAAGGCTAGACTCATTAGTGCACCAGTGGTCCATATTTAGTTAGAAAAAAGAAGAGATTTTTAATTGCGAGGATCAAACTTCTAATTTAGTAATTCAAAAACACTCTTTTTATTCTTTCATCATACCAACCTTGATAGTGATTTTTTACCGCACCAAAGATTGAATTAAAATAATAATAATAATAATAATACATAAACCTCCTTAGATCCCTCGTGTCAGTCCGATGAGATTACATTGTATATACGTACCATTTTTCAGTTCCCCCATCCGGAATTCATGCTAGCATAGGACCCATTAATTATTGTTTTATACAATATAGAATCTCGTTCTTTGTTTCTAGACACATTCTTAGATTTCTAGTCTCTTGGAGTGGACTATATCGTACACAGACATTTTAGCATGCCTTCGCCAAATGGCGTGAAAATGTGATTAGGTTGTGGCAAATGAAGAAAATTGGGTGACATCATTTTACTTGCGGTGTTGCCTCTCGTATTGCCAAATTGCTTCCTGCGATGTAGTGTCCTAATCCAGAGCTTAGATGTTCAAATTGTCTCTAGTGCAAAATCTTGACCAAATGGCGTCGCTCTAGTTGTGACCGACAAAAAGGACATTATTATCATTATAAAAAAATAAACCAAAATATAAATTTACTATTTATTGTATTATTTCAAATATTTTTTATTCATATTCATGTGTATTATTCATTTAGACTTAAATATATTATTTATTTTATTATACAATGATATTTTTATAATTTTTAAATACTATTAAGATATTTATTATGAAAATTTTCATAACATTATATTTTGATCCTTCTTTTTTAACTATTATTTTTTTAGTCTGTAAATATTTTTTATTTGATTTTTTTTTTACTTTTTTGTTTTATTTTGGTCACTCTAGTCCTCGCTTTTTTTTCTTTGATTTTTTTAATTAAAAATTTTAAGACAAAAAAATATTTAGAAAAAAATAATTTGCAAAATAAGTCTAAAAATGTGAATAGAGATAAATAAATAATATTTTTTAATAAATAATTTATGAAAATATAAAGAATAATTCATTAAATACAAAATTTTGATTAAAAAAAGATAAGATTGAATGAATTTTTATTCAATTTTGATTTAATATATTTTGATAGATACATAATATAACATAGGATATCAAAATAAAATAATTTTTTTAAAATAATTTTATGTATTTTGTTGTATAACAAATAAGAAATTTTAAACATTACTTAAATAATTTCTTAATTTAACAAAAAACTAGCTGTAACCTAAGCATAAAGACTCTCTCTCTATATATATATATATGGGGATTTATTGTTGATAGGGACTAATCTTTCTATTAAATTATAGAGACTAGTGTAGATGTAATTTATAATTTAGTAGGCTATATGAAGTTATACTGACAGTCTTATTATAAATATGAGTAATATCTCTTGTATTTATAATTGATTGAAAATCTAATAAAAATTTGTAGTATAACTACAAAATAAATATATTTGTAGACCTAAGCTGAACATTCTCTAATGACAGCATCCTCACACAAAACAAAACGAACAACGTAAACCAAAAGATTCACTTATATTGACTGACAAGCATGATATAATAAGATCATGGTAAAAAATAACAGAAGAGTTCAAGAAAAAGAACTTGTAATTAAGCATCCTATAGTTGTTGGTGCTTTGGAGAAAGTTCCTCCGGAGCCCTACTGATCCCTCTTTGAAAAGATAGTTGACATAGCGGAAACTCATAAGAAAAGGATAAGTACTGTTGATATGAAATTTAGATACCGATATACTACAATTTGTTGAATTATACACACAAATATTAAGAAAAATACCATAAAATAGGCTTCAAACCAGTTGATTCAAAGAATACCGAGAATTAAAAAAATTCAAAAGTTTATTAATCAAGCAAAAGTGGTGTTTTTCAGCCTAGAAGTCTAACATAAATAGTAAATTTTAGGTCAAAACCCTAAAAAAATTTGAAAAGGAAACAAACACTAAAAATTCGAAATTAAATAGAAAAAATCATGCAGAAACAGTAAATTACAATTTTGAGGGCCTAAACATCCTTTTTTTTGCTAAAATCACCCCTACATCATGGGCAAAGCCCATGAATTTAAATCGTAAACCTGTTTGGCATCAAATTAGGTCCAAAAACCTCCAAAAGTAGGCCGAAAATCCCAAATCACGTCACCATCCTTTATCGTGCTACTCCATAAATTCTAAAACCTTTTGTTCCACGTCAATAGTAAAAGAGATATTGCGAAATTAGGCATATTTGAAGGTCGTCAACAGATGTCGCCATATGCTCCTGGAATAGTATAGGTGCAATGAGGCATAACTGCCACCAAGACGACGGATCCCAAGGCCCTGCTGACAAGAAAAGCTTCAGATGCATAATGCCTAAAAGAAAAGGCACTTGAGAGTTCACTATTGCATCATTATACCATTATTAATCTTGCCAAATGAGTACACATTTTATCCATGGAGATGAATTACTGCACCTTTGACGAAACAATTAAAGTAGTTCAAGATATTCGAAAGTACAAAAAATTTATATTGCAGCACATAGCATCCTGATTTGCATAAGTAGCCTACATTACCCGAAAAACCAGGATATGGGTAAACAAATTGGTAGCCCGAGTTTGAAACCCGAGGATGGTTTTTCGATGAAGTTCCACCACCTACTACAGCAGGAACATGCTGGTTATAATTTTGTGCTTCAGACGGCCTGCTGGACATGATGGTGAAGCAATTGCAGATTCAGCATTTGTTGCCATTCTACTTCTATCAAGATCATTCAGGGATCAAGGTGCCCTGGCAAATGTTCACCTCATTAGATGTTATAATTTTTATTTTACAGAGTAGTTTTGTGTTTGCCTGGTTATTCCATTGTTAAAAAGAAAAAAAGAAGAATTTTAACATGATATGACAATTCTTTTTTTTTAATTAATAAATTAGATGGAGTTTGAGTTTTTCATCGGATAGTATTTACCATTATATTGCACGAAAATATATACTAATTTTTTTTTTAATCCTTCAAGATATCCCAAGTTAAAATATTTAAACTAATATCTCGTTATTCTATCGGATCCGAGAAGATGTAAATAGTTACCTAAAGAATTTTTTATATATATAAAAATTCGATTTCAAAAGCACTTGATTAAGCGATAAAATATCCTAGGTTCAAATGTTCAAATAATATATTGTTATTCTGTTGGACGGACGAGATGGAAACAACTAACCAAAGAGTTTTTTATATATATATAAACTCGAATTCGACACTTAATCAAGTGAGTATAATCTTTTCCACTCAAACCTACGCTCTTTTTATATATATATACACACACTAAGTTTTTTATACCGCAAATAACCATAGCATTTATATTCACTTTTTTTTCTGCCGTACCGCTATTCACTGTTTGCAAGTTCTACATTATAAAATCCATAAATATCCATAAGATTTCAAAACTCGAATTTAAACTTATTGATTTTTGAAAAAAAAAACTTCCTTTTTTTAAGAATAAGAAAATGATAATTGTAATAATACTAAATAAAATACAAAAAAAAAAAAAACAGTATTTCACACTATGCGTAAAGAAATTATAATACACAATACCAAAACTAGAACGGGATCTTTTTAAAGACACTGGTCTTTTCGATGATTTCCACGATAAAGAAAAATCCTCAAAATTCCCAAATCTGGGGTGCGTATGCTTGAACAGATAAATCAACGGAATGTCAGTTGACACTTTGGTGTTCCAATTTATCAACAAAATGCAAAACACTCCATAAACAAAAGTTTTTCTTTAATTGAGTCATATAAACGGGTTAAAAGAGCACACAAACTCTCATATCAAACCAATTGCATCATACAAACATTCAATTTAGCCCCCAGACAAATGGTTCACTCCTATTAAATTATGAGAAAACCCATTATACTCCCTAAACTATTGAGTTAATGCACTTACACACTCAAGGTTGAAAAATGAATGTTTACACCATTAAAGTAGATAAAAAAAACAAAAGAGTTTGTACTGTATTCTTATCATATTTGCGACATAGAAGCTATAGATCACAAATATTAAATTTTAAATATAAAAGTACGTAGTATCAAATATCATCATAAATAGATCCAAATTATGATTGGTTGTAAAGGTATTTCCAAAAATTAAATCATCTACCTTCTTTTTTAAAAAATATTAAAATTATAAAATTATTTCTAACTAAATTAAAATTTTAATTTAAGATTGATGATGGAGTTGTGAATATAAAAAAGCTCCATAGAGATTGATTATTGTTTATTGGATTTATTATATGTAATGTATTGAGAAATCGTTTTAAAGTTTTTGGAATTATAAAATTACTAAATATATGTTAGGAAACGAATTAAGAAAAAAAAATAGAGACAGAAGAACAATCACTTAATGGAAGAATTTTATGTAGCTCGACAATGGTACCCACTCCACAATTGCATTAGTATTTCTTATTAAATTTTATCAAGTTTAGGCTACAAATAAAAACGATGTTGTCTCTATTTATAACGTGGATAGCTAGAGTTATAAGAAAAAAAGGTCTAGCAAGCCTATTTGGTACTATATTCCGTAGATCTTTCGGAGGCTTCACTCCCAAACCCTCACAAAGGACATTGCCCCTTGACTCTCGCTAGCGAGACCGCCATGCTGGATTTATACAACGCCTTAGACCGTGAACTCTCATATATATTAGTCTCTATAACTTAACGAGTATATTTAATTTAGCTATTTATAAATTGGCTTCAAGAACCCTTAATTCAGGTACCGATAAATGGGCTTTATGAATTCTTGAAATTGATCTGAGGACAATTTGAACAAAAATGGGTTAGAACAAATATATCCAAAGTAGGTTGAGCAATGCTCATTTGAATCTGGTGATGATATTGATTAGATTTTTAGATAATTAGGGTATTATTTGGTATGCAATATTAAATTTTATAGATAATGGAGCAATTAAAGATCTTCACCATTCAGTTTTGTTTGCAAAAATAAAAATAAATTTTTTTATATATTTGCACTTGTATAATAAAATTAGTTTCCTACCACATTTCAAATCATTATCGTTAAGTTTTAAATTTCTTTACCCAACAGAAGTAATTTACATTTATGTAAAACTCATGTAAAATAAATTAAAAATCAAAATGGAATGATCTAATTTAATTACCGATTGCCGTTGGATTAAAATATTATTAAGACAATGTTTGTTTTCACATCATAAGATTTTAAAGAGATAATAACAATAAATTAATATTTGTACTTCACTAAACTTTACATTTGAGCTCTCTTGTTTCAACATTTTTTATTTGAATTCCTGTGCTAAAAAAAAAAACTTAGTGAATTAGAGTTAATTTCCAATAAAATCAATGATCACTGTATATATATGAAAGATAAAATTTACACATGAATGTCCGAAACATATTTTTTGAAAAAATTCTAGAAAAAAAATATCTCTTAAAAAATATCAAGGATCGAAATAAAATATAAAATAAATTTTGCATATAAATGTTTGAAAATAACTCAAAAATTGAAAAAATACCAATCAACATGAATTTAGGTGAATATAGGCATGAATAACGAACTCCCACCTTTTTTTCTTTTTTTCTTTTGAATGGTAAAGATCGGAGATGGACAATGCCAACAAATTTGAAGATACTATACAACGACCGCGATTTTGGACAGAACTGAACTCCAGATAAGATGCTTTTCCTTTTTCTCGTACTTTTTAATGATATGGACTTTTTTGGACAAGCATTACCCCCTATTAATTTTATTTTTGTCTATTTCAAGTACGTTATCTGTATATATTGTATTTATAAGGAGTTTTTTTTTTTTAAAAAAATCTTACATGGCAAACATAGAGTAATTCTAGTGCTACTTAACCTATATATATAATAATAATAATAAGAATAATAATAATAATTTAGTGCTAATTAGGAGTCAGTTGTTTTGTGTTAAATATTTTATTAAAAACTGTTTTATGATGTTTCCATGTATTTTTACATAAAAACTTAACAACTCAATTTATTTTATAATCAATTTATAAATTTAATCATTTTGTTGCGAAATATCTTAAGCGCATAAAATTTAGTAAAATACTTTTTATAATAATTAATTTAAAATACCATCCAACAATTTTAAATATTATTATCATCATCTGTTACCTCACCTTTTTAATACCGTCGTTATCACCACGATCATTGCACATCTATTATAATTTTATATTATTAATTATTAAACAACATTAAATTTAATTATTATAAAAGATTAAGAAAATAGGTATAACATTTTTCTTTTATAAAACTCAAAATAAATTGAAAAAAAAAGTTATGAGAAAATTTTAAAATATAAAAACTAAATAATTAATTTTTAAACTAAGAGGGACTAATTAATTCGTTTTTGAAAGTTAGAGTGACTAATTTATAATTTACTCGATAATGCGGATAAAATGAGTTTTGTTGGCTTTCCACGCTTCCCGATGCACTTCTTTTGCTATCAGTTCATCTTTCCCATGCTTAAGAAAGGAGTAGTCGTCGTCTTCTTCTAAGGAGCTATCGACGCAAGTCTTTCCATTTCACGTAAAACAGAAGAAAAGAAAATGATGCAGCAATCCAACGCCGAAGCCAATCTACGCATTGCAAGAATTGCAGCCCATATTGATCCTCCAAATCTCCAGGTCTGTCTGTTTCCCATTTTATTGCTTTATTTTAATTAATTAATAAACAAGTGAAATAATTAAATCGTGGGTTTTTTTTTTTTTTTTTTGGTAAGAAAGATGATGGAGGAGGATTTGGGTCTGAAGCGGGTGAATTGCCGGGCTAAAGGAGGATCACCTGGGTTCAAGGTTGCTATACTGGGAGCTGCAGGAGGCATAGGGCAGCCACTGACTATGTTAATGAAGATGAACCCGTTGGTTTCTGTACTTCATTTGTATGATGTCGTCAATACTCCTGGTGTCACTTCTGATGTTAGTCATATGGACACTTCTGCTGTGGTAATAACATTTTTCTTTCTCTTTTCTAAATTTATTGATTCTGGGATTAAAGTTTTCACTCAGAATTTTTTATTTCTTTTGGTTTTAATATCTGTTTTTATGATAATTTGGAAACTGGGTTTGGTTGGCCTATGTTGTGATGTGATTTTGGGCGTTTGGGGTTTCATAATTTGGAGCTATTAATCTGATTTGTGGATTGGATTAGTGAGGAACTTATTGTGCAACATGAGATAAGGGAGGTTTATCAGGTACTTTAGTCCTTAGAAAAAATGGTTAATGCGATATTTATTTCAGAATGCTTATTAGATTAGTGATATCATTGCTCAACTCATTTGAGACTTAGTTTCCCCTAACTTGTTGGGGTTGGCTATATGGATATATATATTTTTTTTAACTAGTTTTTTTGGGTAGGTTGCTATCAGACTAAATGATTGCTTTCCTATTTCAATATAAGCTATTTTTATCTACTTCAGAACTACTTTAGTATTAAGATTTATTGCCATTATTTGGCAACATAAATTGCTGACATATTATAAGGAGGTTTGCTGGAACTGGTTATTTAATTTATTATTTCTTTGCTTTCGAATCTTAGTGATACTTGTGAAGAATAAGCATCGTTTACCTACTATGTATTTTCCAAATCAATGAAGTTTCTAGGTCTCAGAATTAGGATTGTTATGGCTAACCTTTAAACAATGACAAATTGAAAGGAAATGTTTGTGGTGATGCAATCATTCAATTCTTGACAACTTGAATCTTCAATTGAGTAAGCTGTTCTCTGAATTTGTCCAAAAGAATTTAATGATATTTTGTGATTTTTAGGTACGTGGTTTCTTGGGGCAGCAGCAGTTAGAGGATGCTCTTACAGGGATGGATCTTGTAATTATTCCCGCTGGTGTTCCTAGAAAACCAGGAATGACGAGGGATGACCTCTTCAACATCAATGCAGGAATTGTTAAGACTCTTTGTGAAGCAATTGCTAAAAGCTGCCCAAAAGCTATTGTCAACATTATCAGTAATCCTGTTAATTCCACAGTTCCAATTGCAGCTGAAGTTTTCAAGAAAGCTGGCGTCTTTGATCCAAACCGAGTTTTGGGAGTCACAATGCTTGATGTTGTCAGAGCCAATACTTTTGTGGTAAGAATTACAAACTACTGCTGACTCATTTGGGATAATCTTTGCTTCTTTTTACTGCTGATATCAATGAGATGCTGATGGCTGGCTTTCTGCTGTTAAATGTCCAAATTACTAGCATCTTTTCTCCTCCTTTATAACTTTATTATATAGTTTGAAGTCAATTATGATTGGTCAATCATGCATGGGTCATAACAATGTACAGGTGAAGGATATGCTTGTTGGAAGTTTAAGTCTTTGTCAATTTTTTGGAACCTGTTTCCCTCGTTTTCATTCATTATATAAAGGAAAAACAAATGTATCCCATACACTTGTTGCTGACTGAAACAAATTCAGTATTGTTGTTGAGAGGCTGATGCATAGTTTTAAATAACTCCCGTTACGTTATATAACGGTTTCGGAGCATCCCGTTACTGTTATTTTAGTATTATAGTAAGCCGCGATCCGTGATCATTTTTTAACCCGTCCGTTATTTAAAACTATGGGCTGATAGCGTCCTTTGCAATAACTAGAGCCTGGAAATTGTTTTCTGAAAGGAAGATATTGCTAGTTTTATGAATTTTTGAGGCAAGCATTGTGATTCAAAAATCATAGTTTCATGAACTATGCTGATGCCAGTATTTATACACTGTTAATTGCTTATATTGATTTTAATCCACCATGGCATAGAGAATTTAAAATAGCTTCTCAGCTCCGTGCTCCTTATTCTATACAATTGTTTGCTTTTTAAAAATTTTTGTTCTATTTTAGTGTTTTTACTATCATTCACTTCCATTTGGGATTTAATGTATGCTTATTTTCCTAACTCTTTTTACACCACAGGCAGAAGTTTTGGGTCTTGATCCTAGGGAGGTCGATGTTCCAGTCGTCGGGGGTCATGCTGGGGTTACTATTTTACCTCTTCTATCACAGGTTTAACTGCATATGACTTGGGACTGTATGTATGTCGCATTGTAGTTCTTGTATCACTTATTTTTTGTCCTTTGTTCTCCATTGTGTAGGTTAAACCTCCATGCTCATTCACACAGAAAGAAATTGACTACCTGACAGATCGTATTCAAAATGGTGGAACAGAAGTTGTTGAGGTAAGAGATACGTGTGCTGTGTTTTTTCATGTTGTTCTCAAACCAAAGAACTGTTGTTTTGGGATTGTGTCAAATGTCATGCATCTGTGTCCTGTAGCCTCAACTCATGGCCATTGGAGTCTTGCTTAAGTTGATGTCAATCTTTTTGATGCTCTTAATAAATGTTTTCTGATGTTCCATGTGCTTAATTTGTTGCATGGGGATCATCTTACGTTTGAGGTCGTGGATCATTGTGATAAAGATATGACTGGCAATTCAATGCTGCAAAGCCCATCCAGAATTATTGTTTACAACACATCCGAGATTGATATTAATCACAAACATACATCTGACATGATAAAAATCTTTTTTCAACATCTAGGGACACAAGGTTTTAAATTTTTAATACATGTTATTTGCATGATATTACTTATAGAAGATATCATTAATCCACTTTTTCAAAATTTGGGATGCTAGGATTTCAAACTCTTAACACAAGTTCTATGCATGATGTTTCATTGTTTTCGTTATTCTCTGTCTTGTGAAAAAGAGTCCTTGAATATCACCTACTGCATGTGTATAATATTTTTTGGATATGTAGGAAATGACCGAAAGAATGATGTCAAGATAACTATGGTTTTTGTCTTACAAAGATCGGAATAATTATCTTCCATGTCAAAGTTAAAAAAAAATGGAATCATATATGTAGACTGATTTGAAAAAAAAAAAAAAAGAAAAGAAAAGAAAAGAAAAGGAGTCGTGTAAGATTTTCTGAGAACTTTGACAAATGGCAGAAGACCAAGCTGCTTTGGTTGATTAAGTGTGTGGGAGGAAGTATGCAGGATGGACATAATGAAGAAATTTTTACCTCAAGAAAACAATCTCCCCTTTGAAGGGATGCGTTACTTTGTAGCCTTTTTATATAGTAGATAGCTTCCTAGACCCTTAGGGACTTTACTATGCCTGTATGATTCCTAGATTTTTATTCTGCCAAATTATAATTTTCTGATTCTTTGGCAGAATTCATAATTTAGTTCAGCTTTTTCACGATGGAATTTTCCTCTTTATTGTAGTACCCAACTGACACTGCATTAGTTGTAGAAATTACTGAAAGATTTGATATCAAGTTGTTGCAGCCATTGGCTGAAATTTTGCATATTGATTACTTCATTGACATCTCCCTATAGATGTAGTGCCATTCTATTGCCATGGTATTTTGTTCTTCATTTATGTTTGAGTCAGCATTTGGATGCATTTTGCAGGCAAAGGCTGGAGCTGGTTCTGCCACACTATCAATGGTTGGTTGCATGTTTAATTTTACAATTTTTTTCGTCCTACTGTTCTAATAACTTATCAATTTGAACTGGTCGATGTAATGTGGCTAAACATAAATAATATTTGCAGGCATATGCTGCTGTTAAATTTGCAGATGCTTGCCTTCGGGCCTTGAGAGGAGACGCTGCAGTTGTTTATTGTGCATATGTGGCTTCTGAGGTATGCTTCCTGGTGTCCTTTTTCACTGAACCATCCTCCAAATCATTTGTTTTCGTACGTCTGAGCATTTAGCGAGTCTAGGGGTCTTGTATGAAACTCACATGCTACATTTTATAGGTGACCGAACTGCCTTTCTTTGCATCCAAGGTACGGCTTGGCCGTAATGGAGTAGAGGAAATTTACCCACTTGGACCCCTCAATGAGTATGAAAGGTCTATAACTATTTGATTTATAATACTCTCTTGATGAATAATCAGGTTAATTTCATTACAAATTTAAGAGAACAAAACCATATCTGATTATCAACAGGGCTGGTTTGGAGAAAGCAAAGAAAGAGTTAGCTTCAAGCATTCAGAAGGGGATTGCCTTTGTAAGGAAATGAATTATGCCAATGATGTACTTTGGCGATGGTTTTCTGCCATTTGTGGTTCTTTTTCACACCCTGGTTCCTCAAAATACCAGTTCCCTGAAATAAGTTTAATGTCTTTGTTTTAGCCGAGTAAAAGTGCTGGAAGCTTTTAATAAAAATGGGGTTTCTGGAACAAGGCTCTGGTGAGATTCATGTAATAAATATATAGAGAAAAACAAAACATAACAAAACTGGTAACCTATGAACTATTCCTTAGAATACTTGTTAATGCAGATGTCTGATTTCTTTCACACTTGCTTAATTATGGACTTGAGAATATTGGACTGTTTCCCGAGATTGCAATCTTTTCACCTGAGGAAGTGGTTTATTAGCGACTAGTTTTTTGGTTTATTTTTTGGATTTTTAGGGTTTTTTTATTATTTTAAAAAGTCATTGAAAAATTGTAAAAACTATTTAGAAATCAACATTCAGAAGCTATGAAATGAAATTTTTTAGATTTTAAATCTTATATAATATAAAAACATTTTAAATCATATTATCAAATATTTTTTTATAATTATATTAGGTATGGTGGCAGCGAAACAGCAGTTTCTTCAGACAGATTTGATGAGTGACTGCAAAAATAAAAGAAAGTACTAATGTAGAAATAGATGTGATGACATAGACAGAGCAAAAACAATACTGAATGGTCTGTCAGTTCTTAATGGGTGTGCCAGCAAGTGGTACCTAAGAAAAACCCTTTGGATGCCATGCCAGTTCTTATTCTTTGCATATAGCTAAATTGTTTCAGAGGTTCACTCTTTTGCCAGTCACCTCAACTGTTTCTTTCTTCCTTCCACTGAGTTTGTGAATCTGGCCTAACTGGTTGGTTCTGCTTGGGAACTGTATTCTTGAAAACATATGTTGTTCATAGGGATGGCAATTTGTCCCGTCCTGTTAGAGCTCTGCCTTGTCCCGCTCCGTTTGGAGCAAGGATGTTATTCAAAAATTTGTCTCGAACAAGACACGAGGTGGGGATGGGGCAAAAATTTTTGAGGCAGGACGAGGATGGCTATCCCCTCCTCATTTTGCCTTTAGAAATAGCAGTTTGATGGGGTCCCGTTTCGAGATGGTACTCAAATTTGACGGATCGAAGATGGGGTGAAATTTTTTTGAGCAGGGTGGGGGTGGGGGTAGGGATGTTGCCATCCCTAGTTGTTTACTTGTTCAATTGCCAATTGAAAGGGACCATGAACTGGATTATCAGCTCATCCAGAACACCAATGCCAACAACTGCATGGTTCATTGGTAAAGATTTCATTCTCCATTCTCAATGCTTTTGCTGGAAAAAAAAATATTAGTTTTTTTTTATTATTATTAATTTTTTTCTTTTGAATTGAAATGATGATTTTTTTACTTGATTTTTATATATAAAGGAGTATTAATTTAATAGTATTTAAAAAAAAAAACATTTTAAAAAACACTTTCAATCAATTATCAGACGCACGCATAAACATTGACTTGCAATCTATGATGTTCGCAGGCAATAACACTACATAATCATGCATGCAAAGTTTTTGGCTGAACAATGATGAAGAGGGAAGGAGAGCTTGTGAAACATTTCATAATTACAGAAGCTGCATCTTCTTCTTATCCTTACAATTCCTAGCCCAGGCCTTTCTTTTTAGGCCCCACAAGCTCTGCGTTTGTTTGTTCATGAAATTGACATGATTAACAAAGCAAGCTAAAAGAAGTGGGGTTTACTATTTCCCTACTGTTTGTTTATCGTGACGCAATATCACTGTGGACGCTATAGTTTTTTTTTTAGCCGTTATTATTGCTTCTTGCTAATCCTGACTGTCCTCTCCTGCTCTTGTGCATTTACATTGTTTTGCCAGAAAATTACATCTTGGTCCCTTTTCTGAAAAATTAGTTTCTATCCAGAACTTCATTTGCATTACATTTTGATCCCTTCCTGTGAAGGAGGGAGGGAGATGGAGGAATGACGAGGTCCATTTCAGCCATTTTTATTGTCAAAATTACCTTCAATTTGTTTTTATTAAAGAGTGGAATCTATTTATAGTGGTCACAAATTCTGAAATGATTGGAAGTGGCAGATCATGGTTCCAAAAAAAAAAAAAAGAGCTTTTTTAATTTAATTTGAGATTTTATGAATTTTGAATGCATAAAAATGGAATTTGAGGCTCCAAATGAGTTTATGGACGTTATTTTTTTTTATTTTAAGCTACTTAGAGGCAAAATTAACTTTGAATTTGAGTTTGGGAGGTCAAAAATTGCAAAAATCTGCTTTTCTGGTGAGTTTTCTAGCCAACTTTGATTGGCCGAACGATGCACACAGGTGACACATCGTCTACTATGCATGCAGCGGACAACGTGTTGTCCATGATATGCTTTTTTTTTTTTTTTTAATTTGTGGCCTATACGAGCTTGGAATCAGGCCCAAGCATGTGGGTTTTGAGCTTGGCCCAAGCGGGGTGCTCGTGCATTCATTTTTTTTCAATAATTTATTTTTTTATTGAGAATTTAAAGGCAAAAATTATGAAAGATGAAACGTTATTTTTTAGTTTTCAATATAGCATGCCGATTATAAAATATATATAATATATTTTTATATTTTAAAATAAATATATATTTCATATTATATTACTCTTATTATTTTTTTAATTTGTCATTTTTATAGAAATTCTCATCTAATGAAGTTTTTATTTTTGATGAAATTTTATTTGTTGATAAATATGATTCATTTTTCTCTAAAAATAAATTTTGAAATAAATTTTTAGAACATGATTTTTTTTTTACTTTTTCAGAAAATAAATCTATATAATTTATATCATAGACTCTTATTATTTTCAAGTGATGGTAGCATGATTATAAATATATATTTAATATAAGGGTTAAAAATATATTTTAAATGTTTTTTATGTTTTTTGGCTTATGCTTCATAATCTCAACCCACTAAGTGTAGTTATGATTTATATAAAAAATTAAATGATTGATTTTATCAAAAATTAACTATACATCTACACAAATAAAACCAATTTTTTACTTTTTTTTTAATATCATAAAACTATTTTCTTTGAAATAAAATAATTAAAATATTTTTAAAAAGGAACCACCTATTGATTCAAATACAGCTTTTATGCTAATATTATTGAATCTTTTGTGAATAAATATATATAAATCAAATGTACATACTTTTAAAAAAATGATCTTCTCATTAGTAGTGAATAAAAATAAAAATAAAACATTTTTTTTTGCTACTATCTAATGAAAAATATATTTTTATAGGATGTTTTTGAATTTTAGATTATTACAAGCTTTTCTTTAAGAATCAATGCATTAAAAAAATGATTCATATTTTTTTTAGTTGAAATTTATGAAAAATATATAAAAAAATTAATTAAATACAAAGTTTTGATTAAAATATTATAAATTTTAGTGTTTTTTTTCTAAATTTTTTATTTGATATGGTTTTATACAACGACGAATGCGACTTTAATCATCAAACCGAAATAATTATGCTTTACTCAAATAGTTTCTTAATTTTAAAATCTTACAATTACGAGTGTCACGTCTAGATTATATTATTTTTAATATAATTTTATAATCAAAACAATTTTGATTTGTTTTTTTTACTTTAAAAAAAAACACCAAAATTGGTATTTCGATTTAGTTTTAATCGAATAGCAAACACCATGTGGCGCCGCTTCAATCCATACATATGGAGTTCCTCAATTTGTAGACATGAGTAGGGTTGGTTACATCAACAAAGCCTTATGGCCGAGTCATATAAACACCCTCATGTTTTTAACATATAAAGGAGTGCATCCTTAAGATCTTCTAAAAAAATTTAATTTTGATTGATGTATAAATTAGTCCAAAAATACTCATATTTTTGTAAAATAAAATAAAACAAAAGTATGTGTTAACACTCTCTCTCTTTCAATAATTGACATTTCTTAATGTGTCTATTCAATTTTTTTTCTTTTATTATTTGACCCCGTTACATGTCTTTTTAATATAACTTTTCTAATAAGGTTTCAGTTGATTTTTTCATAACAACTAACCGTTGGAATGACATGTCATATAAAAGTGATATATAGCAAAATTTTATCATTTTACATGTTAGTTTTATCTAACTTGTCGATCTATCTATCATCTTCATCTATAATTTAAAGTTTTGATTAAAAAATTATAAGTTTTAGTGCTTTTTTTTTTATTTTTGATTTGATATGGTTTCATAGACTAGCAACATGGCTTTAACTATCAAACTGAAATAATTATGTTCTACTCTACTAATTTCTTAATTTTAAAATCTTACAAATACGGTATCACGTCTAGACTATATTATTTTTAATATAATTTTATCTAATGAATTACAAATACGAGTAGTCCAGTTTTTGTTAATATATAAAGGAATGCATCCTTAAGATCTTCTAAAAATTTAATTTCAATTGATGTATAAATTAGTCCAAAAATACCCATATTTTTTTAAAATAAAATAAAACAGAGGTATGCGTTAACTCTCTCTCTCTCTCTCTCTCTCTCTCTCAAAAATTGACATTTCTTAATGTCTATTCTATTCTTTTTTCTTTTATTATTTGGTCCCTTTACATGTTTTTTTAATATAACTTTTTCGATAAGATTTCGGTTAATTTTTTCGTAACAAATGACCGTTGGAATGATATGACATATAAAGGTAATATATAGCAAAATTTTTATCATTTTACGTGTTAGTTTTATCTAACTTATCAGTCTATCTATCATCTTCATATAGAATTTAAAATTTCGATTAAAATATTATAAATTTCAATGTTTTTTTTTTAATTTTTGATTTGATATGGTTTCATAGACCAACAACGTGGCTTTAACTATCAAACTAAAATAATTATGTTATATTCTATAAGTTTGTTAATTTTAAAATCTTACGAATACAATATCACGTCTAGACTATATTATTTTTAATCTGATTTTATCTAATGACTTACAAATACAGTAGCATAGTGTTTTTA